TAGTTTCAAGTTGTGATATGGAAAAATATGAGGTGAACTTCAGGAAAGGGCATTAAAGATTTACGGGTGGCCTCAATCCTTTGGGTAGGTGTATCTCTGTCTAAGGACGTAAAATCCAAATGAAGATTAACAGACCCAACTCTGTAATATTTTAAAACTGCTTATTGAAGTATATTAATTTGACAGTTAAATACAACCACTATAGAAGTCATAATGATTGGTAAGTTTTAAGCGAATACATGAAGCTATCACAGCAATGTTAAAGTTGAGGAAGACATAGCCGTCATCCCCAGGTTCGCCTGTGCTTCTGTAATCGGCCTTCCTGTCGAACTCCAGGCAGCGCTGGAATGCTGCTTGTCATTGTACACAGTTCACTTTTGAGAATTTTAGTATACTAATAGTATGAACAAAAACGTAGTTATCTCAATTCTGGAGGCTGAAAGGTCCTTCGTTAACTGTGGTCATTGTATGACAAAAGCTGGTAAAGAGAGAAGGATTGAATTTGTGAGTGCTAAAAACCTTCTTCTAATCAGCATTTGACTGGCGGGTTAGTTGGGGGTCTTGTGAGGGTGTAAGCCTCATGACATAAACACTTCCATTAAACCTACCCTGTTTGGCATCTGGATTAAGTTCCACACCAGTGTTTTCAGGGGAAGCACGTTCCAAACGGAGACAACCGGGATGGATCAAGTGGAAATTTCATTCTTGAGATGCAAAGATGGTTCAGACCATTATGCAATCTTAAATGTGATACAGCAACTTAACAAGAAATAAAGAATCATTGGTGAATTATATAGTCACTTCTCAATAATGCAGAAGACAACATTTCATAAAATTTAATATCCCTTTTCATAATAAAGCCCTCTCAAGCAAATTAGGTAGTACTCAAATAATAACGGACCATTATATGATAAACCTACTAACGAAAGCTAACATGGTAACTGAATGGAAAAGAAATTGAAGGCCTTTTTTTTAAGATCTCGGAAACAAGACAAGTGGCCATTGCCCACCTTCTATTAAGTATAAATACTGGTATAGTGCTGCCCAAGAGTATTGAGCGAAGAGGAAGAAATAGAATGGGTATTGGAAAGGGAAGAATTCGAATTAGTGTTGGGGGTTCATAGGATGGACGATGGATTTTCACTTAAAAAGACCTAAAACACACAACAACCTGATAAAACTGGTGAAATTCAGTAAGATGCAGGATATGAGGTCAGCATAGCGAAATCAGTAGCATTCATACATGCCCAGCAGAACAATCTGAAAGACAGTCAAGAAAGCAATCTCGTCTTCTGATGTCTTTTCAGATTTAAAGAATATAAAATACATTAGAAATCATTGTAACTAAAGAAGTGAAGATCTATACAAGGGAAACTGACTAAAAAACACTGTTAAAGAAATTGAAGAATACACATACAACAAAAAATGGAGAGATATTCCTACTCCATGATTTGGATAAATTAATATATTAAATGACAATATTACCCAAACAAATTACTGATACAATGCAATCCTTATCAATGAGATTACCAATAGACAAGTCTTCTCAGGTAAACAAACAATCCTAAAATTTAACATGGAACCACAAAAAGACCCTGAATAGGCTAGAGCAGTCCTGAACAAAAAGAACAGAGCTGGAGGCGTAAACACTACCTGACTTCCAAAATTTATCAAAGCTATTGTAACCAAATTGGCGATTACTGGAGTTGAAACAGACACATAGACCCATGGAACAGAATAGAGAGCCCAGGCATCAACCCAGCATTTACAGTTTCAACTCCTCTTCAAGCAAGGCACCAAAAAGCACTACAATAAGGAAAGGGTAGTTGTCTGATAAATGGGCTGGGTAAAACTGATAAACTATATGCAAATGATGAAACTGGACCCCGTATATCTCCCACTATCCACAAAAATCAAATCCATAAATGGATTAAAGACTTGAATCAACACCTGAAAGCCACTGAAAATACTAGAAGGAAAAACATTGGGAAACACTCTAGGAACATTGGCTGGGAGGAAGATTCTCTTGTGTAAGACGCGTCGAAAAGCACAGGCAACCAAAGCAAAAATAGACAAATGGATTCAACATCAAGCTAAAAAGTTTTTGCACAGCAAGGAAAACATCAACACAGGAAGAGACAAGCCACAGATGGCGAGAGTAATATTGAAACCAAGCTATCTGGCAATGATTAATAACGCAGAACTAATATAAATGCACTGACAACTTCAAAAAGGAACATAAGAGTATCATAAAGTATCCATTAAAAATTCGGGCAAAAGATCTGAATAGACCACTTCTCAAAAAAGAAGACAAACAAAGACCCAACAGCCATATGAAAATGTTTAACCATTACCCAATCATCAAGAAATGCAAGTCAAAAAACTACAGTGAGTACAATTCACCTCAGTTAAAAATCGGCTTTTATAAAATAAGACAGCAATGATGGATGCTGATGAGAATGTGGAGAGAAAGGGACCCCTCTTACACTGTTGGTGGGAACGGTGTAATTAGTACAGCCGACTATGGGAGGCCTCAGATAAACTAAAATGGAGACTAGCATATCATCAGCAATACCACTACTAGGTATAAGTAATAAGAAAGGAAAACAGTATCAAAAAATACATCTGTACACCCATTATTGCGGCAGTAGTTATCAGTAAAGCCGAAATATGCAATCAACCTAAGTGTCCAGTCAATTATAAATGGAGAACAGAGCGAAATAGGCTCACAATAGTATAGATAGTGGATATGAAATGTTATTAGCCATAAAAATAATATGAAGTCCTGTCATTTGCAGCGAACAGAATGACCTGAAGGGCATTATATATGAGTGAAATAAGCCAGGCACAGAAAGACAAGAGTATTACATGTTCTCATCACATGTAGGAAGCTAAAAACATGGATCTCATGTAGTAAGAGCTAGATGGGTGGTTACCACAGGCTGGTGGAACGGGATAGCAGGGAGTGGGAGGATGAAGAGAAATTGACTTATGCGGTACACAATATGCAGGTGTTTGATAGAAGAAAGAAGGACTTAGTGTTCGATAGATTAATTAATAACTATAGTTTACCAATATCTTTGTATATTCCCAAAATAGCGTAAAAGAATTAAAATATAGGTTCTAGCATAAAGAAAAGACAAATATTTAAGTAATGGGATACATAAAGTACACTGATTGATCTTTACAATTATATGAATGTATTAAAATTATCACCATGTACTCTGAAAAAAACAGGTACAGAAGAATGTAACTCAACAATAGCTGTGTCACACCCACAGCTAACATCTTAGTGATGAAAAGTTGGAAGCTCTTCCTCTAAGATCAGGAGTGAGACAAGAATACCCATCTCACAGTGTTGGAAGTCCTAGCCAGAGAAATTGGGCAAGAAAAAGAAATAAAAGGCATTATTAGGGCTATAAATAATTAATTTTTTACATATAGAGATTAAGTACATGTCAAGTATTTGTGTCTTTTGAGATATAATGCACATATCACAAAATCCATCTACCATTTTAAGTGCAAAAGGAGGTTTTTAAAGTATATTTATAGAATTGTGCAAACATTACCACTATTTAATTCCAAAACATTTTCATCACCCCAAAAGAAACCTGTAATCCCATTTCCACTACCCTCACCTCCTGGCATTCACTAATCTACTTTTTGTCTCTATGGATTTGCCATTTCAAAGACATTTCATGAAATGGAGTCATAACAGTATGTGGCCTGTTATGTCAGGCTTCTTTCACTTAACATGTTTTCAAGGTCATCCACATTGTAGCATGTGTAATTACTTTATTCTTTTCTGACTGAATAGTATTCCACTGTAAAATACCACATTTTGTTCATTCATCAATTGATAGACATTTGAGTTGTTTCACTTTTTAGCTATTATGAATAATGCTTATATAAAAATGCATGCACAAGTTTTTATGTAAACATGTTTTCAATTTCCTTGGTTTACCTAGGAGTGTAATTCTGGTCACATGGTAACTATATGTTTAATTTTTGAGTACCACCAAACTGTTTTTCACGCAAGCGCATTATTTTTACATCCACCAACAATGTATGAGAATTCCAATTCTTCCTCTACAATCTGGATGAGTTTTATTTATTTATCTTTTATATAATTGCTGGAGAAATCTCCAGTATAATATGAATTAAAATGATAAGAGGACATCTTGACTTGTTCTTGATCTTTAGGCACCCTGCCAGTGTCACCATGGTATAGGGTGTTGAATGACAGATAAGTTGTCCCCTTAGCTCGAAGGCTTTAGATTGAGAGGAACCACGCTTGGAGAACTGTATTTAAGAACATACCTGAAGAGCCTCATCTTGACCAGGTCCTAATTTAGTTGATGAGATTCTGGATTTTGAGCTGAAGCTATAATGGAATGAGACTTTTGAGATTTTGGGGAGAGGGTAAGTATGTTTTCATATGAGGGGGATGTGAATCCCTGGGGCCAGAGGAGACTGTAATAGCCAGCTTCTGAAATAATTTGCCAAAATCCCAACCTCTTGGTATTCATGCTTGGTGTTGATCCCCTTCCACACTGTATCAGGTTTGGTCTCATGACAATGGAATATAGCAGAAGTGACAGCATGTTGCTTCTAAGACTAAGTGATAAAATACATTGTGATTTCTGCCTCTCTTTTTCTTCAGATCTCTCACTTTAGGGGAAGGTTGTCAATTATGAGCAGCCTATGGAGAGAGCACATTATGAGAAACAGGTCTTTGGAAAGTCCAAAGTGGAGAAAACTGAGGCTTCCTGACAATTGCTAAATCTGTGAGTCTTGCTGAAAGCAGATCCTCTAGCCTAAAGGCAAATTTAGTCCCTACCAACATCCTGAGTGCAACTTGAGCTACCCAGCTAAACTGGTTCCAAATTTATGACCTCCAAAAAGCTGTGAGATAATAAAGGCTGACGCCATGGCACTCACTCTAGCCTGAGCAATAAAGTGAGACTCTGTCTCAAAAAATAAATAAATAAATAAATAAATAAAGTATATGATTTATTGCCAGTTATAAGCAGTCAATTTTGAAATATTTTCAATAATTAAAAAATGAATACCAGTAAAATAAACACAGCACCTTTCAGTATAATTTGTCTAAGTTATTCTAGAAAACACTGCTAATTTTTTGTTCCTATAGAGTCAAGTACAGAAGTGAGCAGATTAATGAATCTATAAACATCATGGAAAGAATTGTAGAGAGGAACTGGAGCCACTCGAATGCCACTTGGTTCCTGCTTGTCACAGACTACTCCTCTTTTTTCTAGTTCTTGGAAAACATCCTTCTTAGAAACAGAAAATGTTAGTGTCAGCTGGCAACCCCGATCCTCTATATGGGATGGTGTAATTATGTTCACCATTGGTTTCTTGGTGTCTGCTTTATCTTTGCTGTAGTAATGCTTCATCGGGTATTCCAGATAACCAGTTAGCAAAATAGATTTTCTCCTCAATGCTTTCATAGTTGCCTGCTTAAAGATCTCTAAACTAGCTTGTAAGGAACAAACCAACAAAATGGGAGGATTTGAAATTCGGAATCCACTGACACCTGGGATTAACTGCAGCTTGTTATCCATTTTGAATCTTGTGCTTAGTTCATGGCCAAACCATCCCACTAATGTGGGTTTAATTTTATGGGTGTGCTTTTCATGGATAAAGGCACCAGCAATACCTCCTGCTCCTGCATTTAAATACTTGTAGGAACACCAGCAGGCAAAATCAACTCCCCAGTCATGTAAGTGGAGTTCAACGTTTCCAACTGCATGAGCTAGATCAAAGCCAACAAAACAACCCTTTGCTTGTCCAGCTTTGGTGATGGCAGGAATATTAAAGAACTGCCCAGTATAAAAATGCAGCCCACTGAACAGGACCACTGCGATTGAGTCTCCTTCCTTCTCAATTACTTCAAGGATATCCTCTATTCTTAAGGTTTCTTCCCCTCTCTTGGCTTTATCATCCGCATCCTTTTGTCAACATTAAGTCCGTGAAGTTGTAACTGTGATTCAATAGCATAATGATCAGAAGGGAAGGCTTTGGCTTCTAGAAGAATTTTATGCCGTTTCGGCGTAGGCTTTAAAGAATGATAACAGAAGATGTAAATTAACAGTCAAAGCATTCATTAAGGCAATTTCTTTCTCCTTGGCTCCTACCATGTCCTTCATAAGGCCTACAATAATCTCATCTCCTATAATCCAAGGACGCTTCCCTACGTCATGACCATAGCCTCCCATTTTGGCTCACTTATCAAGTTCTTCTTCAATATATGGTTTAACCATTTTTGGTTGATGGCCAAGAGAATTTCCCAAGAAATAGATGGCATTTTCATCCTTATTCACTAAAGATAAATCAATTAGAGGCAGATCCCGCATTTTGGGGATATAAAAATACTCTCTGAAGTGCCTCAGCTTATCTTCCTTGTCTAAATGGAGAGCAACCCTCTCATCCGTCGGGTGACATTTGAGTTCAGCTGTGATGCGTCGCACAGTGTCAGCAGGCAGCTCAAGAGGTGAAGGCTCCATTACAAATGGTTCTCTGCTAGGATTCCAAAGGGGTCCACAGCTCCTAGAATCTCTCAAGGAACCTCTCAAGAGAATTCTTTGCAAATTTATGTCAGACCTTAGGGTGAGAAACTCAAAGAACCGCTGAGAAAAGACTTTGACTGAATTTTCTCTTTCCCAACTCTCCTAGAAGTGTGGGCCCACTTTGTATTAGTTACCTATTTCTGCATAAGAAATTATCCCAAAACTTAGAGGCTTAAAACAGCAAACATTTATTATCTCACAGCTTTTTGGAGGTCATAAATTTGGAACCAGTTTAGCTGGGTAGCTCAAGTTGCACTCAGGATGTTGGTAGGGACTAAATTTGCCTAAAGGCTAGAGGATCTGCTTTCAGCAAGACTCACAGATTTAGCAATTGTCAAGAAGCCTCTGTTTTCTCCACTTTGGACTTTCCAAAGACCTGTTTCTCATAATGTGGCTCTCTCCATAGGCTGCTCATAATTGACAACCTTCCCCTAAAGTGAGAGATCTGAAGAAAAAAGAGAGGCAGAAATCACAATGTATTTTATCACTTAGTCTTAGAAGCAACATGCTGTCACTTCTGCTATATTCCATTGGTCATAGAGACCAAACCTGATACAGTGTGGAAGGGGATCACACACAAGCATGAATACCAAGAGGTTGGGATTTTTGGCAAATTATTTCAGAAGCTGGCTATTACAGTCTCCTCTGGCCCTAGGGATTCACATCCCCCTCATATGAAAACATACTTACCCTCTCCCCAAAATCTCAAAAGTCTCATTCCATTATAGCTTCAGCTCAAAATCCAGAATCTCATCAACTAAATTAGGACCTGGTCAAGATGAGGCTCTTCAGGTATGTTCCTTAAATACAGTTCCTCAAGCGTGGTTCCTCTCAATCTAAAGACCTTCGAGCTAAGGGGACAACTTATCTGTCATTCAAACACCCAATATACCATGGTGACACTGGCAGGGGAGTGCCTAAAGATCAAGAACAAGTCAAAGATGTCCAGTCTTATCATTTTAATTCAATATTATACTGGAGATTTTCTCCAGGGCAATTATAAAAGATAAATAAATAAAACTCATCCAGATTGTAGAGGAAGAATTGGAATTCTCATACATTGTTGGTGGGAATATAAAATAATGCGCTTGCTGTGAAAAACAGTTTGGTGGTTACTCAAAAAATTAAACATATAGTTACCATGTGACCTAGAAATTACACTCCTAGGTAAACCCAAGGAAATTGAAAACATGTTTACATAAAAACTTGTGCATGCATTTTTATATAAGCATTATTCATAATAGCTAAAAAGTGAAAACAACTCAAATGTCTATCAATTGATGAATGAACAAAATGTGGTGTATTTTTACAGTGGAATACTATTCAGTCAGAAAAAGAATAAAGTAATTACACATGCTACAATGTGGATGACCTTGAAAACATGTTAAGTGAAAGAAGCCTGACATAACAGGCCACATACTGTATGACTCCATTTACATGAAATGTCTTGAATAGGCAAATCCATAGAGACAAAAAGTAGATTAGTGAATGCCAGGAGGTGAGGGTAGTGGGAAATGGGATTACAGGTTTCTTTTTGGGGTGATGAAAATGTTTTGGAATTAAATAGTGGTAATGTTTGCACAATTCTATAAATATACTTTAAAAACCTGCCTTTTGCACTTAAAATGGTAGATGGATTTTGTGATATGTGCATTATATCTCAAAAAGACACAATACTTGACATGTACTTAATCTCTATATTGTAAAAAATTAATTTATTTATTAGCCCTAATAATGCCTTTTATTTCTTTTTCTTGCCCAATTTCTCTGGCTAGGACTTCCAACACTGTGTGAGAATGGGTATTCTTGTCTCACTCCTGATCTTAGAGGAAGAGCTTCCAACTTTTCATCACTAAGATGTTAGCTGTGGGTGTGACACAGCTATTGTGTTGAGTTACATTCCTTCTGTACCTGTTTTTTTCAGAGTACATGTGATAATTTAATACATTCATATAATCTGTAAAGATCAAATCAGTGTACTTTATGTATCCATTACCTTAAATATTTGTCTTTTCTTTATGCTAGAACCTATATTTTAATTCTTTTTTAGCTATTTTGGAATATACAATAGATTATTGTAAACTATAGTTACTTTATTAATCTATCTAACACTAAGTCTTCTTTCTTCTATCAAACTGCATATTTGTACCCATAAGTCAATTTCTCTTCATCCTCCCCTCCCTGCTTCCGTTCCCAGCCTGTGGTAACCACCAATCTACTCTACCTACATGAGATCCATGTTTTTAGCTCCTACATGTGAGTGAGAACATGTAATATTTGTCTTTCTGTGCCTGGCTTATTTCACTCAATATAATGACCTTCAGGTCCATTCATGTTGCTGCAAATGACAGGACTTCATATTTTTTTATGGCTAAATAACATTTCATATACATATATATATATAATTTTCTTTCTCCATTTATACATTGATGGACACTTAGGTTGATTGCATATTTTGGCTATTATGAATGAATACTGCTGCAATAAAAATGGGTGTACAGATGTATTTTTGATATACTGATTTCCTTTCTTATATATGTATACCTAGTAGTGGAATTGCTGGATGATATGGTAGTTCCATTTTTAGTTTTCTGAGGAGCCTCCATAGTGGCTGTACTAATTTACATTCCCACCAACAGTGTAAGAGGGGTCCCCTTTCTCCACATTCTCATCAGCATCCATCATTGTCTGTCTATTTTATAAAAGCCATTTTAACTGAGGTGAATTGATATCTCACTGTAGTTTTTGACTTGCATTTCTTTGATGATTGGTAATGTTGAACATTTTCATATGGCTGTTGGTCATTTGTTTGTCTTCTTTTGAGAAGTGTCTATTCAGATCTTTTTCCCAATTTTTAATTGGATTATTTATGAATTTTATTTTCCTTTTTGAGTTGTTCAAGTGCATTATATATTCTGGTTATTAATCCATTGCCAGATAGGTTGTTTGCAAATATTATCTCCCATTCTGTGGCTTGTCTCTTCACTTTGTTGATTGTTTTCCTTGCTGTGCAAAAACTTTTTAGCTTGATGTGATCCCATTTGTCTATTTTTGCTTTGGTTGCCTGTGCTTTTGAGGTCTTACACAAAGAAATCTTCTCCCAGACCAATGTCCTAGAGTGTTTCCCCAATGTTTTCTTCTAGTAATTTCATGGTTTCAGGTGTTAGATTCAAGTCTTTAATCCATTTTGATTTGATTTTTGTGGATAGTGAGATATAGGGGTCCAGTTTCATCATTCTGCATATAGTTATCCAGTTTACCCAGCACCATTTATTCAACAGACTACCCTTTCCTTATTGTATGTTTTTGGTGCCTTTGTTGAAGAGGAGTTGACTGTAAATGCATGGATTGATGTCTGGGCTCTCTATTCTGTTCCATGGGTCTATGTGTCTGTTTTAATCCCAGTACCATGCCAATTTGGTTACAATAGCTTTGCAGTAAATTTTGAAGTCAGGTAGTGTTACGCCTCCAGCTCTGTTCTTTTTGTTCAGGACTGCTCTAGCTATTCAGGGTCTTTTGTGGTTCCATGTAAATTTTAGGATTTTTTTTTCTGAGAAGACTGTCATTGGTATTTTGATAAGGATTGCATTGAATCTGTAATTTGCTTTGGGTAATATTGTCATCTTAATAATATTAATTCTTCCAAATCATGGAGTATGGAATATCTTTCCATTTTTTGTATGTATGTGTATTCTTCAATTTCTTTAATCAGTGTTTTATAGTTTTCCTTGTATAGATCTTTCACTTCTTTAAATGATTTCTATGTATTTTATATTCTTTAAATCTGAAAAAGACATCAAGAAAGAGATTGCTTTCTTGATGTCTTTTTCAGATTGTTCACTGTGGGCATGTATGAACGCTACTGATTTCTGTATGCTGACCTCGTATCCCGCATCTTTACTGAATTTACCAGTTTCATCAGGTTGTTGGTGTAGTTTTTAGGTTTTTCTAAGTAGAAAATCATGTCATCTATGAACAACACTAATTTGAATTCTTCCTTTCCAATACCCTTTATTTCTTTCTCTTGCCTAATACCTTTGGCCAGCACTTCCAGTATTATATTAAATAAAAGTGGTCAAAGTGGGCATCCTTGTCTTGTTCCAGATCTTAGAAAAAAGGCCTTCAATTTTTTTCCATTCAGTACCATGTTAGCTTTGTTAGTAGGTTTATCATATATGGTCCTTATTATTCTGAGTATACCTAATTTGTTGAGAGGGTTTATTATGAAAGGATATTAAATTTTATGAAATGTTTCTTCTGCATCTATTGAGATGACTATATAATTTTCTTTTATTCTGTTAGTGTGCTGTATCACATTTAGATTTGCATATGTTGAACCATCTTTGCATCTCAAGAATGAATTTCACTTGATCCATGGTGTTCCGGTTTGAACGTGTCTCCTGAAAAACATGTGTTGGAAACTTAATCCCAGATGCAACAGGGTAGGGTCTAATGGGAAGTGTTTATGTCATGAGGGCTACACCCTCACAAGTGCACTAATGCTGATTATAGAAGAAGGTTTTAGACTGCAAATTCAATCTTTCTCTCTTACCCTTTTATCATACAATGACACAGTAAGAAGGACCTTTCAGCCTCCAGAATTGAGATAATACGTTTTTGTTCACTATTAATTATATAAAATTCTACAAAAGTGAACTGGTCTACAATGACAAGCAGATCAGCGACTGCCTGGGAGTTGACAGGAGGGATTACAGAGGCAGGGAAAAACCTGGGGATGACGGCTATGTTCATTACTTTAATTGTGGTGATAGCTTCATGTATGTTAAAACTTACCATATTATACTTTATGTGGTGTATTTTATGTCAATTTTACTTCAATAAAGCAGTTTTAAAAATTACAAAGTGGGTCTGTTAATCTTATTGGAGTTTCTACTCCTTAGACAAGATACACCCATAAAAGGATCTGAGGCCCACCCGTAAATCTTTAATGCCTTTTCCCTGAATTCTACCTCATACTTTTTCCATATTCACAACTGAAACTAAAACATATTTAACTTTGGAATTAATAAAAATGTCTTTTTGTCTTGGGCTCTTGTTACTAGATGCCTGATTGCAGCCAAGATAGCACGTTACTCTACACACTTTTAATCTTTCTGGCATTTTTTTGTGTTTTACAGTATTCCTGTATTGAATCATCTTGAGATGCTTATTTCAAGACCCCCCTCCACAACTACTAAATTAATCTATTGGGAGTGAGAAGGAAACTGGGATCAGGGGTGAAGCCTGGGAATCTCACAAACTCCCCAGAGGAATCCATACATAGATCCACTCAATGACTTCACACAAACAAATGCAATCTACTGTAGCTACCTAATTTAGCTGTTTCTAGGATTAAGATATTGATAAAAACAAAAAGCATACATTATTTATTAAGCTCATAACAATTTTATTAATAGGAACAAAATTTATTTTTATATGTACATACAAAAGACATTTATTTTCTTTGACACATAAAAATACAAAATTATTTACATGTACACAAAAATATTAAAACACAGACATCAGAAAAAAGGAAAGGAAATTTTACAAAAGATACTTTCTTGGGAGATATACACAATGAAAAAGGTTTAAGAAAGGAGACAAAACATTTAAATTACTACTCCAGAAATTGGTATTTCCATTGGTATTAATTTGATAAGACAAATAAAATGTCTCAAATGCCAATAGATGGTAAACAAGATTTATATCTAAGATTGTCTAGGTAAAATTCCAGTCTTCTTTCACCATAAAATTGAATCGTTTTACTTCGTATCACAAGTATCAGATTACTACTTACTTTTCCTTTTTTATTTAAAATATTTAAATTTTCTGATTTGTACTGAGAATTTTAAACAATTTCACATTAAATTGTAAAATAGTTTAAGAGGTTGTATATATCCTCTTTATCCACTGGGAAAAAATTTCAATGTAAAATTGAAAATCACAATACATTTTAAGTTAAAACCTAATATTTTCTCACTAATGTTCATGATCAGGAACAACTTGATTTAATAAGAGATCATAATCTTCGTAAATTGTTTTTGCTTTTTTTTGTACCAGGCAGGGGACCTGTTTTACAACTGGCTTTTAGGAGCTTGCCATTTGAACAGTCTTTGGTGGTATGATAATTACACAGACACCTTGTACAATAATCAAATCCACAGCCTTCTCGTTTACAGGTTGCCCGTTGTAAATAGCAATCATATTTTGCAGGTGAATTACAACGAATACAGGCCTTGAGGCTTTCGTTTTTTTTCAAAGTCTTAGCAACCTAAAAAGAAAAATTACACAAACATATTTTAATAAGGACTGAATGTAATTAGTTAGTAAAACTAAGAAGGGCACCTCTGCACCTTTCCCAATACATGTATGAAGCACCACTGTCAGATATAAGACAATTCCTGCCCTTAAGTTTACTGTTCAATGGTGACAAATAGCATCACTTGTCAAGTGGTCTAATGGCCATTTCCTATTGCTACTTTTACATATGCTCTCCTTTGTGAATGCTACTAACACAATGCCTAAATTAAATGTCACATTTCCTGGAAAGTATTCCTAGTGTCTTTAAGGAGTTGGTTGCTCTTTCACCTATAGTTCTGTCTTTTTTTAATAGCACCTTATCACACTATATGGCATTTATTTTTATGCAGCTATCTCCTATTTAGATTGTAAGGATTGGAAGTTTACCTTGTTGTCCTATCTATAATAGTACCCGATAACAGATGCTCAATAAATTTTTGAATAAGTTTACATGTTGTAATAGTCAAACATTATAAACATTTAAGACAGAAACTAAATTTTACCATATAGAATTTCTATATATTGACCAACATATGACATAGTCAACATTAAAAAAATATCTTATCACTCTTAGATAAGATTATGGTTCTCTAAATTAAGCTTACAAAATTATCTACATGTTAGAACTTTTAACACACATCACCCAATGATTTAAAGGTATAATAGGAGGTTGATGATTTCAGAAAGGTGGCCTTTTGCTGCTTAGCTCTCTTCTTCAATTAAAGGCAGCAATTGCAAAACACAGCATTGAGTAGTATTATCAATTTTAAAATCAAGGTTTTTCATTATTTTCTTAGTGTTTTTAAATTAGAACTCAACATCATTGAACTTTTATAAACAATGCCAAGCAGTTCATACAAAGACATCTCTGTGTACTTTCCTAATTTGGAACAGTGTTTTGGTTTCCCACATTTTTGGGAATAAAATGAAGAGGACAGAAGATTCCCATCCTACTAACAATTCCCTAATAATTTGAATTATAATACTATAATTAAATTTAAATGACCATCAGTATCAGCTATCCTAATTTATTAGTAATTAACTAGAGCCAACTTACATTTGAAAGTTTTTTTTTTCATTTTTCACTCTAAATCCTTTTAAAAATAAATGATCATGTTTCTAACTTATTGATTAAACAACGAATTACCTCAGAGAATTCATTGTGTCGACTGTAAGTAGAACCCTTCTGATCATCTTGATTGGATAACTTGGTTTGTGCATCTTTTTGGGGAGGAGTCTGGACTGCTGCTTTTTGAACAGAAGCCAATGGGATTCTGAACATAACATACTCTCGGGTTGAAGCATGTGGTGAAAACTTAATGTTGCCTTCCTAATTAAAAAAAAGTTTTAATAGAAATTTAAAACTTAAAAATTTTCTTTCCTATATTACCAACCACCAGATATTTTTGTTATGTTTGCACATGTAAGAAATGGCAAATAAGAATGTAAAGACTTATTCCTACATGCAATTTACCCGCATCTGCTTAAACACAGTGACATCTTAATATTAACTCATGTAAAGCCTAACTTATTGACAAAAATTGTGAGAAATCATTCACATGGGATTATGAATTTAATACATGATTTGTAACTAACCAACGTCAAACTACTACCAGAACAAAAGGTTATTCTTCCCACCACCAGCAGATGGCAACAGTCCCATTTAAAATCAGCTTTTCAGATTAGATTTTTCCATTAACACCAGCTTATTGATAAAGAAACTAAACTTGGAGAATTTAAGCAATAATTGACAAAAGTTACATAGCTAATAAGTAGCAACAAAAAATTTGGACCTAAGTCTGTCCAACTTTAAGGTATGAACTTTCCTTCACGTACTGATCCTGATTCTCAGAAACACTTCCAAAGTATTAATAACTCAAGTATTTCAGAAAAGTAATTTCATTTTCCTCCTACATTAAGAATCTTCAATATGTTGACATTTAACTGTTTCCTGGTAACTGAAAAAAAAAATATTTCGTTGCTCCTATTTCTCAATCCCTAAAAAGTAAAACAGCTTTTCCAAATTTTCCAAAGATTACAAAACATAATAATACACAAATGGCAACCAAGATCAGCTATATGGTCATCTCGCCCATCTAAGAACTGAGTAATTCCCCTGTGTTATTTTAGACATTCTGTTTCTAGAGAGCACCTAAGAAATAAATGACTGAGGTGAGATTCCTTTCTATTTTTGAATTTGTTTTCTCAGTAAGTTCTAGAGCAAGGCTGAAATATTTTGTGAATGTAAAGGAGGGTTTCCAGACTTTTTCTTTCCTATTTTTGCCTCCTATTTCTGAAACAGCACTAGCAGTGTATTTTAAAATGAAAAAATCAACAGTAAAGACTTACAGTAACTCTCTGCACTGCTTTATTGTACAATTGGAATGCTCCCTTATCATCTTCTAGAATCTTCTTCCAAGTTGTGCTCACTTTAGACACACTGGAAAAGTAAATGATCATAAAGGAAACAATTAAAACATCACAAAGCTAAGATGAATACAGTAGGAAAACATTAACAGTGCAAACAGAAATTTATATAACCAATACTTTTCAAACCTGACTAAACATTGGAATTGCCTGGGGTAATTTAAGATTTAAGGATGCCCCCCCCATGCCTAGTAATTTAGGTTTAATTGGTTTAAAATGGGCCCAGGGTACTATATTTTTTAAAGAGCTTCCAATCAAATAAATGCATCCAGGCTTAAGAAACATAACTTTGTATTTTTTCAACAATATCTGCAAACATAAAATGAGTAGCCACCATTGTGTAATACATATAACATCATTTTGGCTATTTGGTAAAAGCTGTAGACAAATTTCAAGGTACTCCAGGACATGCTATTAGTGAAAATTAATTAAAAAAAAAACAACCCCTATGTTAACAGAAAAGGTAGACTGTGATGTTGATTATCCCTCAAGAAGCCAGAACACAGTAAAAATCAATACTTGTATCTGTCTCGCTTTTGCCATATTTCCTAAAGATCAGTATAAAGCCACATTTGCAGAGTACCTCCAATTTTTCAAAAAGCCAAAAAATGAATCCAGTTGAGTTAAATCCAATCTAATCCTATAGTCTATATAATCATTCTCAAAGTTATCTCATCCTGATTTTCCTTAGTAGAATGACAAAAAAGGATAGTTAATATATGTAAGGTTTCAAAAAACAGTCATAATCAGATCCCTATTTGTGGGCTTTCATATTTTCATCATTGTCAAACCCGAGAGCCCTACATCAAAAATGGCCTACAAGAAACAGAAATTATTTCTAACTTTCAGGTGTGACAAAAGTCATAATGCCTATTGGATCTCTACTAGAACTAGGCTGTTTTATATTTAGGTCCAAGATATAATTTGCATACTAGAAGTTTCAGAACTAAAAGGAACAAAAACCTCAGTCTGAAAAGAAATACATTTTTCTAATAGCATGAATATAAAATTTGAAATGACCAGATTAAATGCATGCTTCTAAAGTGGCATACAGGTAGTGAAATACTAGCAATCAAGCAGAAGTCATCATCTCAATTAAACATTGCAAATCTACCCTACTACAGGTTGAGCATCCCTAATCAAAAAATCTGAAACTTTTCGAGTCCTGCCATGATGCTCAAAGGAAACGTACATCGGAACATTCTGGATTAGGAATGTTCAATAATGCAAATATTCCCAAATTTGAAAATATCTGAAGCCCTTCTTGTCCCAAGCATTTTTGGATAAGGGATACTCAACCTACACATCAGTCTTTGCATGAGCTGGTAGTGCTGAGCCAACCAACAAAAGTGTTGAGTGGACTATACAAATATATATATAGTATATTCAAAGTAGTAATACTTACTTGATTAAGTCCATATCACTGAGCTGAGCTAAAATACTTGCTAAGAGATGTCTGAGTCCCCTCTGAAAGAGTTCGCTGAGAATATCTACACACTCTAGGCCCATTTTCCTGCCAATTATATTCTGCAATCTAAAATTTCCTCTGGCTATAATTTCCTTCAGCATCTCCCGGTCTCTTTTCGGATTTCGTTTTGTATTCTTTTTTAATGTTGAGCAAACTACTTTTTCAAAATGAAGAGCTGGCAGTAAGTTTTTGTTGGGATATTGGTCTGGGCTTTGCATCTGTAGCGGGCAGGATTGTGGACTGTCACTGAAATTTTCTTCCAGGGAAAGGCTACCCTCTTCATGTTCATTGAGACCACTTTGCTGAGAAAATGAAGAATAGCCACTGTCTTCATAAAGTCTACTCGTCTCTAGTTCTTCTATTTCATTTGTACTATTAAGTGTTTTTTGCACACGTTGATTTTCCTTGTTATGCAAGGGCTTGCTTTCAGTTTCAAGTTCTACAATGCTAGGGCTCACAATTGGTGACCCAAGACATGATAACCTCTCATAGTCTTTAATGTAGTCTTTACAAGAACCTTCCAAATATGTAAGAGTGTAGGAACCTAGTCTTCCAATGTCATCAGGTTTTACTAGTTTAAGTCCAGCATGAACATGGCCACAATTAAAATCACACTTCATTTTGACAGAAAGAGTAGAACTTTCTTCTTCTTTACAACCTACAAAAAGAACATAACATTTACTTAATGGCAAAATTTCCACATATCCTTACTTCTTAAATTAGGATATACAAAGATTACTATGCATTCGCTCGGCATTATGTTTTGCCTATAGGTCTGTGACATTACTCAAGTTCAATTATCGACATGTCAATAACATGTAGAAATATTATTTAAATCTTTTAATCACAAATACTTCTAGAATCAGTACCTATACCCTGGACTTGAAATGGCACTATAGTTTGCTCTGACTTAAGCATAACCCAAGCCATTGACTATAAAAATGGTTAAGACCAATGGGGGAAAAGAATATGTACAATTCAGAATAATATTGATAAAAAGTAATAAATGAAAAATTTGTTTATTATTTAAACATTAGCAATTATTATAAGCCTTAAAATAATCACGAAATCTATAGGTAGCTTGTAAAAAAGGAAAGAAAAAGCAATACATTTAAACATCCATAAGTTAAAGTCCACCTGAACTCCCACAGTGCTCATCTGCAAGGTTTATTCTTTTTGGTGCTCTTGGTGACCCTTTAACATATTTAAGGTGTTTGTATATGCTGCTGGATAGTAAACTCAAGCACAGGGACATCTCCCTATATCTTGGCTAATAGGTGTTATAAACTGCTATCTTCAATTACTGAACAAAGATTTTTTCATGACTAATTAACCAGAGTCAGAAGAACAGTTCAGCTACCAATCAGAATTATGAGTTGGTAAATAAGAATACCACTACTATTAATTAACCAGATCTAAAAGTGGTAGGGCAGCAAGTGTAAATTACTGTTCAACTGCTTCAAATGACTTAAAATAATACATTAGCTATTTGTGATAAGTAGCATAAATGGAAAAACAAGTGTTGACACTATTAAAAGAATCATGCAATTATTTCTGGATATTATTCATTAGAATTCATGATTACTAATTCAAACTTAAACTTCAAAAAAGCCAAAGATTTGTTTGGGTTTGCATTATCACCTCAGCCCCTACACTAAGGGCCTAAGAAAAAACAGTTAAGACACAATGGAACAGGCAGCATTTTAAACCACTTTAAAGTTGGGTTTCTCAATCTCTGTACTACTGGCATTTGGGATCAAATAATTCATTGTTCTTGGGGGCTATCCTGTACATGGTACGATGTTTAGCAGCCTTTACCCATTAGACACAAAGAGCAGCTATCACTCCCAAGGTACAACAGTAAACAAATGTCTACAGTTACCAGTTATTGGCAAATATTGGTTAAGGGGGAAGACGCCAGTAGCAAAATTTTCTCTGTTCCAGTTGAGAACCACAGCTTACAAGAGAGGTTGGGAAGGGCATTCACTGAAGGATAACCTGAGCAAAGGCACAATGCTTGGAAGGAATATGGTAGATGGGTTCAGGATCTACTGAACCCATAGCTGAAGGCAGGATAATGAGTAGGGGAACAATGAGGACATGAGCTTAAAAAGCCTGATTCTTTAGGTTAAAATGTGCTCCAGCTACTATCCCCCTCACAAGCCAGTCATATATAGGCAACAACTTATCCTATCAGTAAATGTATGTACTAGTCACTATGTTCAGTCTGTACTAAGTATTGTTAAACTGTCCATGCTAATTTAACCATTTCTACTTAGAGCAAAACCTTTCAAGTCAAAGTACAAACAGATAACCTTCATAGAAAGTGACCTTGTAGATAGAAACTGCTTTTAAATTCCCAGTGTCTAACACAATTAAAGACACATAGTATGTGCTTCAGGATCCCACTAAATCTAAAAGTTAGGTTTAAACTAAGAGTTCACCGGCACAAAAAATAAAAAGAATACATAAATTTTAACCCCCCCAATTAACTCTAACTCTATAACAAATTATTCTGAGTAGTTTCCTTTCACTGAGATGAGGAAAAAAATGCCAAGAGAGATTATTTCCATTCTCACTCAACTAAACAATTAGGCTTGATTTACATATGACCACAATTTATCTGAGAAGATAAAAAAGCAGAAGACAACTATAAAGGCATGCCTTTTACTCAGTTTAGCTACCCAAAGCAAAGAGGCCTGAAAATACTTCAGGAACTCAAAGGCATTCTTCTCCCTCTGCTGTCTTTAGAACCCAGTTTCTACTGTCCTATAGAACCTTTCATTCAACTCTATACTTTGAACATAGACAGTTCTTTAAAATTAGAGCTAATAATGATTAAAATACTTTATATTAGTTTAGAAGCTTGCAACTTCCAATGTTTCCAAACACTTGGTCCTCACAACCTTTTTGAGGTAGGATGGGGAGTTATTTTTACAGTAATTGAGCACAGTGAAGCTCAGGTAAGTATGTTGCCCAAGACAAGTAGTTAAATCAGATTTCTTGACTATAAATTCAGTGTTCTTCCCCCTATCTCACATGAGAATGAGGTGCTTTGAATAAATAGAACTTGCAAATTAAGGCAAAGTATACTATATCTTGTTTCACATTTATACTCATTTATAAAAAGCCAGAATTCATGGTTCAAGAGCTCTTCCAGGTACCAAAGAAAAACACTTGTACATTTCTTATATAAGTGGGCCTTCTTAGTAACAGTGACTTTTCCCATCTCAGGTGCTTTGTACATTATGCTTTTCAACCTGCCTGGAGTAGCTTTTCTGCTTCCTTTGCCTATTTAGCTTCTAATTAATTACTCATGTATAGCTTCATATTTATCTGTGAGGGGACTTCTCAGATCTCGTCAAACCCTACTTCAAAGCACTACCAATTTTACGTTGTAAGATTATTGTAAGTTCCTTAAAGGTGAAACATGACTGCTATTGCTTAGTATAGAATGCAAGCACATGATACAGTGCCTGATACAATGAAGACATGCAACCTAAAAATGTGTTTCCTAGTTAACATTAGAATCTTCCTCACTAAATTAGCACTAAAGGAACTTAAAGTGAACACAATGACTACCACATTCCTCTTGTGCCAACATGTATTTTCACATGAATAGATTTAGTATTTTTTAAAACATTTAATAAACTTGCACTTACAAAAAAGTTGCTAGTACAGAATTCCTGTACATCAAGCACCCAATACCCAACTCTTACATTACTAACTTGCATCCATGTCAAGATTAACGAACCAATATTGATGCATTATTATTAACTGAAGTCCCTATTTTATTTGAAAATCCTTAGTTTCTACCTTTGTTTCTGCTCCAGGATCCCATCCAGGATTCCATTTGCTTCTTATGTCTCCTCAAGTTCTTTTTGGTTATAACTTCTATGACTTTGTTTATGATGACCTTGGCAATTTTGAGAAGTACTAGTCAGTACTAAATGTAGCCTATCCCTCAATTAGGATTTATCTGATGTTTTTCTCAGTTAGTCTGAGGCTGTGAGGTTTTAGGAAAAAGACCACAGAAGTAAAATACTATTGTTACCACATCATGTCAAGGGTTCATGCTATCAATATGATTTATCATTGATGTTAACCTTCATCACTTGGCTGAAGTAGTATCTGTCAGGTTTCTCCACTGTAAAGTTATTCCTTTTGTTTCTTTTCTATACCATACTCTTTGAAGTTACTATGCACAGCTTACACTTAAAGGGGAGGGAAGTCATGCTCTATTTCTTTGAGAGGGAGTAAATCTATATACCATTTGAAATTCTTTTGCATAGGAGATCTGTCTATGCTTTCCCATTCATTTATACAATCACTTATATTAGTATAGACTCGTGGACTTCGGGCTATAATCCAACACTACTTATGTTCCTGTTCAAATTGTTTCTGCTTTCACTACTGTGAGTTCTTTCAGTTGGCTTCAGTGTCCATTCGACCTATTTGCATCATTTTGTTTCTTGAGCAATCCTTATTTTCTGGAACTATACGATGCTCCAGGCTCACCTTGTATTTTCCCTGTTCCAGTCCTAGAATCAGTCATTTCTCCAAGCAACCCTAGTTCCTTTATTTGGGAAAGAATTATTAGAAATGAAAATCTGGATTCTGGTTGTAGATATAATTTTAAAATGTGAAATGAATGGATTTTTAATCTCTAACAATACTACAGAATAAACTAAATAGTATCACCTTTTTACAAAAGGAAGCTGAACCAACTGTTTGCAGAAGGCTAAACCCATCTTTTAACAAGCCCAGTGCCTTCCAATGCCCAAGCCAAATTTAGTAAATAGATGTAGTATTCATATAATTGATCTGATATTATCCAGAAAAGAAAATATTACATGGTTCTATAACCTCGAGTTAAAACAGATGAGGGTTAAGAGTCTAGTTTGCCACTTCATTTTTCTAATGCTCACTTAGAGACAAGGTAGAGAGAGAGGAAGATATTAGTCAGGGATGATCTTTTAGAGAAGGCGACATTCTGAGATCTGAAATTCTTGTGGAAATTTGGTGGGACAGTTCCAGAGACAAACACAGGAAGCAAGGAAAAGAAAGATCTATAGGGCTGCAGCACTCTGAGCTAGAGGGAGATGATTAAAAAATAATGTTGAATAGGTAGAATGGTCTATAAATTTGTAGGATAGGCTGGGCCTTTGAGGGGTTCTAACTGGAAGAGAAAAATTTGGTTTATGTTTTTAAAAGATCATTGGCAGCTGTGGATTGTAGTAAGGTAAAAGTAGAAGCAGGGAGAAATAGAAGTGTTCATCATAGGGGTCCTAAGAGTGGAGCATCAGGGGCTAAGATGATTACAGTGGAAATGAAGATACTTGGATAGATTCAAAGTCTATTATTTAGGAGGGTAAAGGAAATAGAGCTTACCAATATGCTAGATGGGGATATGAAGGAAAGGGGAGTAAAAAAAATACTCTGCAGTTTAGGGCTTATGTATCTAAGGTAGAAAGTGCCATTTATTGAGTTGGGGAAAACTGAGGAGGGAGGTAAACTCTTAAAGCCTCAATTTCCTCATCCATAAAATGAGAGTAAGAAAATAAAACTAGAGTAAATCAATGGCAGAGTCCCAGTCATAGGGATCTAATCCACAGAATCTACTTTTAATCACATAAGCCAAACCCTTTCATATTCCTTACATTGTCAGTCATTAACATTCAAAAGTAGTAAAATACAACCAACAGAGAAGTATACATGTCAGACTATATACTTTTCTACTAGAATGTATGGATTTAAGGATCAGATCCAAGTTCAAATGAAAATTCTTGCTCAGCCTTTTGACTACCTTTGTGAACTTAGAACATTCTATTAGTATTTTTTATTTTCCCTAAAGTGGAGATATTAATAAAGACTCAAACATGCCATTTTTTTAAACCTCTCATTTACCAATTCTCAGCCCAATAACCGAAAAATGGTAGTAAACTATTTGATTTTCCAAGACAGACTTAACACTACATATTACATATCATAATTAAGGCCCAAAAATCTTTACAGGTCTTCTAATGCTAACGAAATAATTATGTTCCAGTCTCTGATACCTATAGATAACCACCATGTGCACATGTTAGGCCATGGCCACTCCTTAAGAACCTGAGAGAGGCCCAAGGCTTGCCACTATGTAGTGTAAATCTTAAGAGAAAACTTTAGAAAAGCCTACTTTCAAAACTATTTGGATGCAATAATTTTTAAAAATTTCATTTCCTCAAGCCTGTAAACAGGAGAAAAAGTCCTAAGGGGCAACAAATACTTTCTAAGGAGCAAAGTAGTAAAGACAACTGGAATTAATAATCAAAAGACTCTCTCATAAGCCATCAAGCTTCAGAATTTCAAAGGGAGATTTATGATCCAGGATCTTCTAGAAATATATCTAACCTGTTAAAAATTATTTTTTCTAGAGACTCTGGATACCTTTTCTAATGAAAGAGACATTACCAATAGTACAATGTCGAATTATTAAACTTTTTCATTTCGGAGGTAAATTTAATGCATTTGGATTTCGTTTAGAGGTAGCAACAAAGAGGATAAAAATAAGCATTTGAGTGCCTTCCATCTCTTAAAAACTTTGAAATAAAGGACCATCTAGTTCTTCACGAGTACAAGTGGAAAAATTAACCAATTCTTCAGTTCTCACAAAATCAACTAAACATTATGGACAAATTCAAGGTTTTGTAGTAAAAAGTGCTCTTTCAAAACTCTCCCCCCCTTTCTACTCCAGACCTTAAGACTGAGTTACAGGCAAAGGGGAAAAAAAGGAAAAAATTAACGTTTTTGTTTGGACGTTCCAGTTGATTTTGGTCCAATGCAGGGGGTGGGGGTCCTCTGCATTTGGCGGGAGTGGGGAGGGAGACCCTGGAACTCCTGAGGGGTCTGTGGGACTGCCCCTCAGGGCGCGGGACATGCGGAGGAGGCGGGAGATAACCGCGAGATAGATCTCCCGCGCCCGCCAGCAAGACTGATGTGGCGAAAAATCGGGGAAATTGACTTCGGGTCTTGGGGTGCGGGACAGGTATGGGTAAGGGGCAGAGGGAGTGGGGGTGAGGCACCTGACCAGACCCTGGGGGCTGCCGGCTCGCAGCCCTGTCAGAGCCAGCAGCCATAGGGTGGGGGAGGGGAGGGGGCATTTGGCGCCTATTCAAGTAGGGTGGGGATAGGTAGGTCTTTCCGAGAAGGAAAAAGGGCGCCCTAGTTTGCCACGACACGCACCTTCTCCAGAGTAGGAGTCGGATTCAGCATGGGCGGCCCACCATCCCACCCCAGCACATCTAGCTTCCCCTGCTCGACCCCCAGACTTCTCCAGAACCCAGGAACCGCCGCCGCCGCCCGCCCGCGCCCCAGCTTGTGGCCGTGCCAGGTTCGGGAGGTGGTGAATCAGGGGTCGCACGGGGCGCCCCTCACCTTGCACCCCTCGCGGAATGCAAGCCCCGTCACGCCGCTCCCCTCACTCACTGTCCGAGGGGCTAGGGCGCCCGGCGGCTGTCACAGTGCTGGAGCTGCAAGAGCAGGAAGGTGGCCGTGGGGAGCAGCTGCAGGAGCGCCGGCTCATACCAGGGGACGCGGGGCCTGCCTCAGGTGAAGGAGCTGTTCTGGAAGGTGAGAAGCCAGCCGCCTGCTTCACAGCGCTGTATCCCTTAAAAGGCGCCAGCTGGTACTTTTAAAATCTTTGAATTTGGTGCCCAAATCCGCGCGGTCCAATGGGACGCGTCGCTCGCACGCACGCACCAATAGGAAAGCTGCGGGCGGAGCCTCTCTCATCCATACCCAATTGGAGGCTGCCGGGGCGGGGCCGAGCCGCGAAGCCCAAACCCCTGCCTTCTCACCGGCTCCGCACGTCCGGAAAGATGCTGCGGCGGGGGCGGGGCCTCTGAGCGCGGGGAGGCCGCGGCCCGGCCGCACGTGGAGGAACTCGACCACGCATGCGTGCGCCCGCCAAGCTGCGCTCCGCCGCCTTGGGAAGCAGCCTCCTGCAAGTCCTAATTTCAGCCATAAGACAGCTGCGGCTTCTATCTGCAGACCTCCGATAGGTACAAATGGCAGCTGGCTTTTCTTCGATCATCTCACAAGTGGGAGTTCGGTGAGCGGCAACTCTTGTAGTCCCGGAATGCGGACTTTCCGGAAGACGAACCCTCCCCCCAGTCCGGCTTAGCCCGCCTCTCTAGGATTTACGCGCGCACTCTCCTCTCCTCCCTAATATCGCCCCTCCCTGCCCGTGCCTCTACGCAGGCGCCGTTTGAGGGCGGTGGCGGCGGAGTTGGCGGGTCGGCGCTTGCGCGCTGGGGACCCCGCGGCTTTCCCGGGGGAGGGGCGGAGGAGCGGGTACCGCGAGGCGTTCCGCGCCCCTCCCTGCGCGTGCGGACTCGAGCGCCTGTGGCGGGAGACCTGCGGCCGCGTCTCCCCGGGCCTTCCGGCAGGGCTGAGGGCGGGACCGTCACTTCTTCCTTGTAAGCGCATTTATTTGTACCTTCAGCCGCGGCTCTGCAGAGGGACGTTAAGTTTACTGTAGTTGTCTGTATGCCCCTGGCATTTTGTTTCTCGCTTTCAGGGGTCAAGCTCAAGAGACAGTAGTCCTCCCCGCAAAAAGAATAAATAAAAATCTCCACTCTCTTGGGCTAGAGGCCCCTTTCCAGGTGAATTTTTTTTTTTTTTTTTTTTTTTTTTTTTTTTAGTGATGGCTGGAATGGCTGTATTGAAATTGTGCCTTACCGTTAGTGATCCTGAACTTTCAACTATTCGAACATGCACGTAAGCGGTGACAAAATGCATCCCCTTAACCCTATAGGGCCTGGCTGTGGTGCTAGGTCCTGGAGATACAGGTGTAAAGGGATTTTACACACCAATGGGAAAGAAATTGACAATTAACAATTTCAGTACATCGAAGAGGATGTAAAACAACAGTGGGGTAGAGAATGGAGGTTAGGGGCATAGGTTAAGGATTTTTGATGGTGAGGAAGGTTTCTGAGCCTTTGGGCTTAGATGTGAATGCTAAACTGGCAATGCAAAGAGCTGCATAATAAGCCTAGGAAAAAAAGACCAGAGTGCGGGACTATAAGTCATTAAGTAGGGAATAGAGTAGGAGATGAGGTTAGAGGGGTAGGCAGAAGCCAGATCCTGTAGGACCTCCTAGGTTTCCGTGTAGAGTTTAGACTTTCTTCTGATTGCAACCTGTAGCTGTTGGAGGAATTTTAGCAAGGGAGTTATTTGAGTGAATATTAAAACTATAATAGCTTATTTTTACGTACGATCAAAAGAATGTTAATGGTAGCCTTCAATTCTCAACAATAATCTAAGCATTATTTCATTTTGTCATGATTGTGCTTAGAAATGTAAATTAATTCTCACCATGTGGTTATTAGAACCACATGGCTAGTAAGCAGAGATTCCAGTCCCATTCTGCAGGATTCAAAAGTCCCTGTTCTTTCTTCTTATGTTATTATGGGGAGTAATGTTTGTTAGGGTCCTGGTTGTTTATGGTGCATTTTCACATTACTTCCCACTTTGACCTCACTGCAATCTTGAACTCCTGGGCTCAAGTGATCATCCCACCTCAGCCTTCCAAAGTGCTGAGGGATTACAGGTGTGAGCCACCATGCCCGGCCTGACGTTAGAGATATTTATTCACCTCTTTTATTTTCAGATGTGGATGGAAATACGAAATTTGAGGTAGGCAAAGGTTCTCATTAAATTAGTTAAGCACCTGGAAAATAACCTTTGGCTCTTTTCCACAGCTTAAAAGTGTACTGCTGCATTTTTTTTTCTTCCAAAAAAAGGCTGATATATTACTGGAAAAATCAAAATTTAGTAATATAAAGAGCCAGGTACATTTTGTTTCATACTGTAATAATCTGGAATAATCTATCAGTCGTTTTAGTTTATTAGGTTACGTAATCATTGACTTTAAATGATTATTTGAGCTTTAATTGATTACAATAAAATATTCATAACTGACAACTGTTCAGTATGTTCATGGGCACCTATTAATTTTTTTTTTTTTTTTTTTGAGACAGAGTCTCACTTTGTTGCCCAGGCTAGAGTGAGTGCCGTGGCGTCAGCCTGGCTCACAGCAACCTCAATCTCCGGGGCTCAGTGATCCTACTGCCTCAGCCTCCCGAGTAGCTGGGACTACAGGCATGCGCCACCATGCCCGGCTAATTTTTTGTATATATATTTTTAGTTGGTCAATTAATTTATTTCTATTTTTGGTAGAGACGGGGTCTCGCTCAGGCTGGTTTTGAACTCCTGACCTTGAGCAATCCGCCCGCCTCGGCCTCCCAAAGTGCTAGGATTATAGGCGTGAACCACCACGCCCGGCCAAATTTTATCTTTAGTGAAAAACTTAGGGCCATTCTGTATTTTACTAGATGCCAACAGGTATATACACCTTTTTCTTCCTGCATATAAATGTGAATCAGAGTTGTTGTTTTCATTTTCTGCAAAATGAAGTGCAGAGAAAATTTCCCTTAGTCTTTGATCAAATTCTTATTGCAGACCCACTACATGCAAAATACAATAAGGTATATAGGAATAATTGGGACATGGTATTTGCTCTTGTGCTTACTATCTGTGTGCTTGCCACATAACAGACATACTAGATGCTCAGAAAATAATTTTTGAAGAAAAGGATCATGAGGTGTGTGTGAGGGGAATAAGGTGTATACAGTAAGGGTATAATAGAACACTGGGTGAGTCAAATACATTTAAAGTTACAGTGAGGATTGTTATAGAACAGAGATGTTAACATCTATATGCCAGGGTAAGGGAATAATCTATAGGACAAGGTTTCTTAACCTTAGCAGTATTGACATTTTGAGAGAGGTAATTTTTTATTAGGGGGCGAGGGGCTGTCCTGTGCATTGTAGGGTATTTAACAGCATCCCTAATTTCTAATTCTGTCTTCCAGCTAACAGTCTCCAAACATTGCCAGATGTCCCCTGCAGGGCAAACCGCCTGTGGTAGAGAACCACTGCTGTGAGGGATATCTTTTGAGGAAATGGGGATGAAGGAGCCCTTCCACAGCAAAATGAACAAAATGGGGGAAAGCTTAAATGCAGATGCATTTATCAGGAAAAACAGATGTGGCATAAAGGAGGTGGTGTGTAAAATAGGCTTATACAAAGTGATGCTGGATACAGATTATGGATGTATTGCACAGGTGAGAGTTGGAGTTTTATTTGGGAGGAAGTGGGGAGGTATTTCATTATTGAGCAAAGAATGGCGAGATCAGAAGGATTAATCAAGCAGTTATATGTAACCAGAATTAGAGAGCAGATACGATGTAGGGAGAAGTCAGATAACAATTAAAGTAGTCCAAGAGAAGTAATTTTGAACAAGGGTAGTGGTCATAGGATTGGAGAGAATTAAGGTGTTTACCAGCAGAGTAGAATTTAGCAGTATACAGAATGTGAGGAAGAATCTCAGGTGACTACATTTTAAATGTGGGAGTGATGGAGAATGGTAATACCGTGACTGAAATTGATATCACACAATGAGAAATGGGTTATAGAAGAAAATAACAAGTTTCATTGTAATGATAGTAATTATCTGTTTAAAATCTTCACAATTGCCATTCTAGCTGATGAGTTTTGATTAGTTGGTGCTGTAGGCCTTTTTGAAATTAAGTTGAATTTTGGTTCTTTCTGAACAATACAGAGTTATGACTGCTTTTAGACATCTATTTAGTGCCTACTGTAGTGTGATGTTCACTCCTGAATGCACAAGAATGACAAAAACACAACCTTGTCCATTGCGTGAGACTGTGTGAAAGGTCTAGCAATACTTGTTTGTCCTATTCCCTAACCCATTTTTCCCCATTTCCACATTAAGCACAGTCGGAGATAGAACAAATCAGTAAGTTTACTCCCTTATGGTAAATGTTCAGGTATGGTGACTTCGTCTGTTAAGTGCTGCTTTAACAGAACACTACGGACTGGGTAATTTATAAAGAACAGTTAATTTCTCACAGTTTGGGGGACTGGAAATCCAAGAACAGGTGCTTGGGCATCTGGTGAGGGCTGTTGTATGCTTCCAAGATATTTTGGGTTGTCTGGAGGGGAAGGATGCTGTATCCTCATATGGCAAAAGGTGGAAGGGCAAAAAGGGTCAAATTGCCTCCATCAGGCTATTTTATAACTCAGTAATCTGTTAATGAGGTAGAACCCTCATGACCTGAACACCTCCCCAAAGGCCCTACCTCCAATCCTGTTGCACTGGGGATTAAGTTTCCAAAACATGAATTTTGGGGGCCACATTCAGACCACAGCATGTGGTAAAGTACTATGAAATACAAATGGAGGAGCAGCTCTACCTGAAGCTCTGCCCTTTAGGTTGGACCTTACATCTGTCTACAAAGGTAAACTATGTGTTTTCTAGGTAGAGGGGCAGCATGACCAAAAGCAGGTAGGAGTGACAATGCATGGTTTCTAATTAAGGTAGTTGTGTTGGTGGATTGTTTGTGCAAACATCTACAAATTCCAAGGACCTTAAAATGTTACACTTAGGATTCCAGTAGGCTGCTTCTGCCAGAATCAGGGTGCTCTACACTTACTGGGTTTCCAAAGTTACATACGATCATGTAGGAATACTTAAGATTAGTGGGTAGAGGAGCAGCCAGTACCAGTTCACAGACCTGTATTACTACTCTGTATGTGCTCATAATACACCTACTGATATATATATTTTAAATTTATATTGTTAAAATTACCTAAGTTTTATGATTTTTTTTCTAACCAATTATGATGTTCTAATGGATGGGAAGTTTAAAAATTGATCAAGGGTTTTTTCCCACTTTAATTAGTACAGCTCTCATACCTTCTTTTCCTGTAGGGCAAGGGATAAGGGAGTGGAGAGGGATGGGCTGAGGAGAATAAACAAACTCTTAATAGCTCCCCCTTGTTTACAGAATAAACTCCAACATTCAAGACTTCACAATCTCAATCTAACTTTTTTAATTATTATATGTGAGAAGAGGTAAGGGAAAACTAAGTAATAGTACATTGTAATATTGAATAACCTATGAATATGTACCTCTTGTTCAAAACACCCTGGAAACTGAAAGACCTAAGAGGATAGAATAGTGGGAGACACTGAGTATGATTGAACAATTGGTCTTGTATTGTATTCTTGAGTTGCACAGGTCACTGCTGCATTTATCAACTGTTCTTATGAAGGCAGAATGCCTTTCATAAATGGATTGCAAAGGAGAGGGATTCTCTGCAAATTAAAATTCTGACTTACTTGGTAACCACATTTGGCCAGCTTTAAATACTTATCTTTAATATTTAATCACTTTTCTGCACCTCTCTTGTAGACCAATAAGGTGAGATAAATGATCACTATAAAGTACTGTGAAGATTAGCACAAGCTAGGCTGTAGAGAAAATCTGGCTAATAAATGTTGACTTAAAGAGGAAACATTATCTGACAAATACAGTTTGAATTTGCATAGTACATATGCTCATAAGAACTAAGACTACTATTGATTTTAACATATATGGAAAAAGGGTGGCAATTTTGGGAGTTAATTAAATATCTCCTAATTCTTCAGTATTTTAATCATAACTTTAAAGTAATTTTCTCTAGAAATCGTATCTTGTAACTACTATAAATTTAGTATTTCCTTATATGGAGCTCTTTTCATAGAGTTCTTAGTTTACCTCATGTTTTTAAAAAACCTCATAACCCATTTCCACCTTTTCTCACTTATTTATCCAGCAACGAAAATGTTCTACATTTCTTCATCACACACACTTTATTCTCTTTTGCTCTCACCACCACAAATTCTTTTATAGCTGTGCGGCCCCTTGCAAACATTCCTGGGTTTCCTTCCCTCTCAGCGCCCAATTCTCTGTATTTAGTCTTCTCAGAAAAAAACCTATCTATAACCAGGATTCCCATGGAAAAAGAAACAAGTTATTTCTTTTGAATCTTTTGACAGAAGAATATTGATAAAGATTATACTGATTGAGCTTTAAGCTTATTTTCAACTATAAATTCTCAGTTCACAGGGTGAATTCATTTGTTTCATCTGTCATTTTGGGGGGAATCTAATACATCTCAGTAAAAGCATATCAGAGCATTCAAACCGGGCCTTATTTAAATAGATATTTTAGTGACAGTAATACCAAGTCACAGAAGGGGATGGAGTATTCAAACCTAGCTGAGTATTAAGCTCTGAATTCCAGTTTGCAGGAAATACTGACTTCAGGAACAAGTTAAATGACACCATAATATCTAGCCTGACCTCAAATGTAGTGCCATGAAAAGGGGGAGAGGGACAGTAGGGCTGTTCTACATTTAGCAAGGCTTAAGAAATGTTAACAACCAAATTCTGTGTGTAGTCCTTCATTGGATCCTGGTTTGAGGAAGCCAGCTGTAATATACATTTTGAGGAGAATTGAGAAAATTTATATTACTGGGCATTTGAAGATATTAGGGAATTACTGTGAATTGTTAGATGATGGCATATGCTTAAGTAGAATAATACCATTTTTTAAAAATACAAGTTGAAATGTTTAAAGGTGAAGTGTCATGATATTTGTAATTTACTTCAAACACTAAGCAAATATGAAAACATTGAAACTTAGGTAATGAGTGTTTGTGCCAGTTAAATTTATTGTCTCAGCAACAAATTCACCTTTCATTGCCCGAGTTTGTGATATTAGAGCTGGACCTGTGTCTTAGTCATTTTGTGCAGCTGTAATAGAATACATGAGACCGGCTAATTTATGAAGAACAGAAATGTATTTGTCACAGTTGTGGAGGCTGGGAAGTCCAAGATTAAGGGGCATTTGTTGTCTGGCAGGAGCAGTTTTTCTTTTCTTTTTTTTTTTTTTTGAGACAGAGTCTCTTTGTTGCCCAGGCTAGAGTGAGTGCTGTAGCATCAGCCTAGCTCACAGCAACCTCAAACACCTGGGCTCAAGCAATCCTACTGCCTCAGCCTCCCAAGTAGCTGGGACTACAGGCATGCGCCACCATGCCCGGCTAATTTTTTCTATGTATTTTTAGTTGGCCAATTAATTTCTTTCTATTTATAGTAGAGACGGGATCTCGCTTCTGCTCAGGCTGGTTTCGAACTCCTGGCCTCGAGCAATCTGCCTGCCTTGGCCTCCCAGAGTGCTAAGATTACAGGCGTGAGCCACCTCGCCCAGCAGGAGCAGTTTCTTGCTGCATCTTCACATGGCAGGGCAAGCTAGCAGCATGCTCCAGGAAGCCCATTTTATAAGGGTCTAAATCCTGTTCATAAAGAAGCCCTCATGGCCTACTCACCTCTTACAGGCCCCACCTCTTAATACCATCACATTGGCAACACTTGATTTCAGAGGGGGCACATTCAAACCATAGCAACCTATTTGAACATTTTGCCTTTGCCAGCTAGCACCATGTTAAGCATTGTCAGTAGGGGGTGGTTTCATATTTGAAACTGGAGCAAGTTTCAAATATGAAAGGTTTTCATGTTTGCTTAATGTTTGAAGTAAATTACAAATACAGTGGCACTTTTAAATATTTCAGCTTGCATTTTCAAAATATGGTATTATATGTAAGCATTACCATGCAGTGCTACATGGTAATGTTTAAACATAGTAATGTTTAAACATTACTATGCTTCAGTAGCACTGCGGGAGGAAGGAGATTTTCTTGTTTTTCCTCTTCTATGGTACAGCTCCCTGGGGTGCTCTTGGACACTGTGATGGTTAATTTTATGTCAACTTCGCTGGGGCACAGGGTGCCCAGATAATTTGATCAAACATTATTCTGAATGTTTCTGTGAGGGTGTTTTTGGATGAGAGTGACATTTAAATCAGTGAATTTTGAGTAAAGCAGATTGCCTTCCATGTTGGTAGGCTTCATCCAATCAGTTGAAAGCCTGAACAGAACAAAAAGACCAGCTCCTTCCAAGCAAGAGAGAATTCAACAGACTGCGTTTGGACTGGAACTGTACCATCAGCTCTCTTGGGTATCCAGCCTTCTGGCTCACATTGCAGATCTTGGACTTGTCAGCATCAATAATCACAGGAGCCAATCTTTATAATGATTCTGCTGCTTTGGTGGTTTCTGCTTCTCTGGAAAACCCTGACCAATACAAATACCTACTGAGGCTTACTGTCCAAAAAGTTTTATTCATACCCTACCAGGCTTCTTGCTTACTTGTCCTGAAAGTTTGAGGTTCTCTGCCTGCAAGACCTGATCCACCAACTTCACACCAGCTCTGCCCCAGGGTAGCCCAGGGATCCTCTCTCCATCACTGTGTAGGCTGTAGCCACACCCTCCCAAATAGGCCTAAATTCACCTTGAGGAAGGGGAACTCCTTCCAAGGGTGTTCCTTCCTTGTGTACTCTCTTTCAGTCCTAATGTATGAGTTTCTTTATCCCTCTTAATAGCTAACTGCATTATCAGTTAAAATATCTCTATAGAAATTAATCGTATGGTTTTTCTCCTGACTGGACCCTGATATAGTATTTACTATTATATTTCATTCTATATTTGAAGTTAATAATAATAATAGAGTTAAACCCAATTTTTGATTACCCATTAAATATTTACACATAATAGGACAAAGGACTATCTTCTTTTGCCTACTCATTACAAGGATGAATCCAAGATTGACACAGTCATGATTACAGATGGTCCCCAATTTACAGTGGTTTGACTTATGATTTTCTAACTTTACCATGGGTTTACTGGGACATAGCCCCATCTTAGGTCAAGGAGCTCCTACAGATTACAAATGGGTATCTCTTTCATATCATCATAAAGACGAAAAATTGTTAGTTAAACCACTAAGGGACTGTGTGCTATGTTGTTAGCATTAAATGAATTTGACTTAAGATATTTTCAACTTATGATGGATTTATTATTGGGAAGTAGCGCCATTGTAAATGGAGGAACATCTGTATATTGTATGTTTTTTACTAATGCATTGAGAAATATTTATGTAAATTATCTATGTCTTAAGAATATGCATATTACTCCAATTGTGTTAATTCTTGTTTTTCAAGAGAATACTGTATTTACATATGATATGATTTGCAATAATAGAATTTTTCTAAGCTATAAAAAGTTTTTCATAACAAATCAATTTAAACTTTTTGGGAAATAATTTCTACTAAAGATTCATAATCAGCATAGTCCTTCAATGACTGTACAAGTTCATCCAGTAGATAATCTCCTTGCATAAAAGTTTCAAGATCATGTAGTGACTTGTTTATTCTGTGATCTGTGACTCGGTTCTGTGGAAAATTATATGTTCTTATTTTCTCTGACCTTCCTTTAGTTCCAACCTATATGTATAAAAAGAGATAATGAGATAGTTAGATTCAAGGCAACTTCAACGTACAGGTTTAACTTACTTGGAGATTAAGTTCTTGATTTATAACATAGATCAAAATGTAAGAAACAAGTTTTAAACATTTTGAATCCCCAAATGACATGGGAACATGATACAGAAAAAAAGAACACAGGCTTTAAAATCAGACAGATTTATATTAATATTTGAATCCTGTCTTTGCCATTTCAGTGCTCTATGACTTTAGGCAATTCACTTCAACTTTAAACTTTAGTTTCCCCATCTGCAAAATACAAATATCTACTACACAGTGATGACACATTTTAACTGCCTTAATGTAGTCATCTTCAGTGGTGGGAAGGTGAATTCCCCATATTGAGAATTTTTTTTGAGACAGGGTCTTGCCTGGGCTAGAGTGCAGTGATATCATCATAGCTCACTGCAACCCCCAACTCCCAGGCTCAAGAGATCCTCCTGCCTCAGCCTCACAAGTATCTTGTACTAGAGGAGTACACCACTGCGTCTGGGTAACTTTTTAAAAATTTTTTTTAGAGATGGGGCCTTGCTATGTTGCTCAGGCTGGTCTTGAATTCTTGGCCTCAAGCAATCTTCTTGCCTTGGGTCTCCCAAAGTACCATAATTATGGGCATCAGCCACTGCATCTAGCCCATATTGAGGAATTCTTAAAAGGCTCTATAGTTATAAAATTAAAAACTAAATAGGAAGTAAGTTCAGTATGCTTTCCAACTTTGTTGCTTTTATAATTTGAAGGGATAAAAATGAAGAGTGATTCTATATCTTTTTTTAGTAACTTTAAAAATCTGACAAAAATGCCTGTGAATATAGAAAACAGGGTAGAGATCTTAAGAAAACAAGCATAGCCCTTAGATAAGGTACTTGAATGTTTTTTATTTTGACATATATAAAAACTGAGGTATCTAAAATATTTTTATTGTTTAAAAACATTTTTAAAAGTCATTTTACCTGAATCTTTCTAGCATTGTATCTTTTACTTGTTTCTTCTTCAAGATGCATGCTGTACAGTTTTGCACGTAACTTTTTCATAGCCATCTCTCTATTTTTCAGTTGAGATCTCTCTTGTTGGCATTCAGAAACAACACCTGAATAGTGTTATGAGAATTAAAGAGTTTTAATAAAAAAATTCTTCTTTATTTTTTACCAAGGAATACTCCTTTTCCTTCTTATCCTTTTTCTTCTTCCTTTATAAATGGAAAAAAACAGGACTCTAATAAAAAACCTATAAACTTAATAACTTGTATAGTTTATCAGAAAACTGAAAATTTAAGTTTGAGCTATAGCACAAGTTATTTCCATATTGAAGGTACACACACTAAACAATAAGCATAAATCATTTAATATGGAGTTTTCCCTCAGCTAGCCACTAAAATGTTTTTGAAGTAATAACTAACAAGTTAAATATCCTATTACTAGAGATAATCACTATTAATATTTTTTTCCCCATTCCTATCTACATACCCTGTATTACATAAGACATCACCAAGTTTAACAGGATTTTTCTCTATCTCAAAGAACAAATCATACCAATCCAGCACTTCCAGCCAGTATTGGTTAATGAGAATTATGCCAATTTGAGATCACTCATAGTAAGAGATTCTTGTTTTCTTTCTAGATAACTGAGGCTTGCTATCCATATATTCTCACTCATAGTAAGAGATTCTTGTTTTCTTTCTAGATAATTGAGGCTTGCTATCCATATACTCTTTATCACATGTAAATCATTACAGCAATATTTGTAAAACACATTTATTGCTGCCTACTGCTATACTGGAGACTCTTAAGAAAGACTGAGATGAAATCTCGTTGGATTAACTATCTAGAATCAGATTCCCTGGAGGTGGGTGAATGAAATTAATGGGAAGAAACCTCTGAAATAATATGCAAAGCTCTGCATGTGTGTATGTTTCTAGGTAGGAGGTCTGGCACTTTCAGTTTTCAAAGGAGTCCGTGTTCCCCTCCCCCTGACAAAAGACTGACAACCAGTGATTTAGTGCATTTTCTGATAAAAAACCTATAATAATTACTTCACTGTGAGGATTTTTTTAAAAATAGCTAAAACTATTAAGTATAAACTTCAGAAGGCCAGCTGGAAGGACTACCCCACACCTACTCATAGTCACTAACATGGAAATTCCCTAGGTTTAGATCACTCTGTCTTCAAAATTATCCCACAAAATATTGGCTAAGGATTCTAAATAAATCAAGTATTTAATACCAATTCTTAGTTGTATACATTCCTCTGGTAATTGAGGATCTATTTCAATGGGAAATTAATCAAGTCATTCAGAAACTGACTTCTTTCTTCAGTGTTACACTGAAGAAGTACATACCTGTTGGAAGGTGAACTATCCGGACAGCACTGTCCGTCTTGTTTACATGTTGTCCTCCAGCTCCACTGGCTCGCTTAGTGTCAATTCTCAAATCTTTAGGATTAATCACCAGATTAATCTATACAGAAAAAGAAAAGTTGGGATTTTTAAAAATTACATATACCAGTTATATAAAGGCCAGAAGTACCCATTTATAAACACATGTACCGAATTCAAAAGAGATTTGTATGGTTTAAGAATAGAAAGTAGTTGGAATTTTTAAACTCTTTTCCTTTTTGGAAGAGTAGGGAATCAAAACATCACACAAGATGAAAACAAACCCATCCTAATCCTCATAAAATGAGATTCTCTTTTAAGTTTCTCTTTTCTTACCATAGGAGCAGCAGAACTTGTTAATAGCTACTGTTAGAAATGTGAATATATGAACTAATGTGAGATTCTGTAGAATTTCTCTGAATTTAAAAAGACTAGCAGAGAAAAAAAATGCTAGCTTGAGAATTATAGGAAGGGTTTATTTTGTTTAATTTCAAACATACTTGGAGGCAGAAGTGAGGCGAATGGAAATGGCAATGGCTAAGAAGTCATGGGTATAGACTCCATTCATGGATACACTGGGATCTATGTCAAGACAATGCTCTGTCCTGGTAGCCACCATCAAAAGCACTCAAGTTTAAGTAGTATTTTTTCATCAAAAACTATGAACCACTCTGACATTTCAATAACCCTGGCAGTAAGAATCCTACCATTCCCGAGGCCCTCTACGTCTCCCTACGTGACTCCCTCTTATGTTTGCTAGAAGAATTAGATGATACATGGACTTCAGTCTGCTATCTTTTCTTGAAATCGCTCTCCCTTAACTACTTACTTTCTCATCTAGGCGTCACGAAAATTTGATCTAAAGAAACCAGCAAGATGTAAAGACAGGAACTCCATAAACTCTATTACAATAGAGAGTCTAATAGGACTTTTCCCCAAAATTAATATAGAAACTCTCAAACTTCCTTCTCCTCAAAACATTCATAGTTCATTCTCAAAACAAAATCAAATATTTCCTACCACTCTTCAATAGACGGGAAATTAAGCAAAAGAACTTCTAAATTCTAAAGTAAGTTATCTTACAAATATGGATTGAGAATTTGCTTTGTGAGAATAAAGTATACTCATTATGAACACTATAACAATATATTTCTATTTTGATGTGATTGGGTTATGAAGTAGCAATTCTATTAAATAATTACCATGTTAAAATAGGATTTTTGCTATTAGTACCTTGGGAATCAGTCACACAAAAGTTATTATATTTAAATATGTTATTACTTCACCTGTAGAAATGGCCACACAGTGACTACATTAGTGGACAAAAAGTCATACACACATAGACAATGTAAGATTGGATCACTTATAAATCCTTAATTCTTATCATCTATTACAAAATTGTAGTTTTTGGACTGAGATTATAGATTATCAAAAGCAACTCAAGATACGTGAGGAAGACCAAATGATAAAGGAGATACTCAATTTAGGAAGGTCTGAGTAAACTCTGGAGGCAAGACATTGTGCTAGGCCCTGAATCCCAAGGAGAGGGAGGGGCTTATTATGCCTTACCTCAGTAGGCTGGGGTAATATTGCCACAGTCATAGTGCTAGTATGGATGCGGCCTTGCTTCTCTGTCTTTGGCACTCTTTGTACTCTGTGCACACCGCCTTCAAATTTCATATGCTTATATGCTTCTGAACCCCCAATGCTGGCAGATGCATGTCTAAGGCCACCTTGAAAATACAGGGAAAACAGAATTCCTTTTATTATTCCTGCCATTTATAAATAACTGACCTTCACATCTACTATCCTGAAATATATTTGAGAGTTACAAAAGGATATAAGCACAGATTATAAAACATTAAAATAGTGTTTTACACTTAATCTTTATTACTTACAGTTATTAAATATAAAGCATTTATGGGACTAGTGAACTGATGTCAATAACACATCTAAAAGACCACTTTTAAAGACCATTAGTAAGTCAATGATTAATATTATTGAATGATTATCCATTACATTTTACAGGCCATTTCAAAATCGGTATATTTGCCTGGTCATGATCTTTCCCACCCTTTTCCTAAGACATGTATAGATAAAAATCTATACTTTATCTAAAACAAATTGACCAGTTCACTGACCTGTTTCACTTGGAAAATATTCCAGGGTTTCAAAATTCCATCTTTTAAAAGCAGCATATTGCTGATACATTTCAAATATCTCTGAAGTAAACAACATTGCCTCTTGACCCCCAACTCCTGCAGTCACCTCCAGGATCAAATCGTTTTCATCTGTTTCTTCTGAGGGAACCAAAAGTAAGATAATCTGTAAATACAAAAATATCACCCCTCCTATAATTAAGAATTATTTTAAATGTACCCTCCCTAAAGCTAAATGATTAGATTCAGGAATTTTAAATATTTAAGTTTCTTTAAGCAAATAATATTGCTGAGTACTGTTCAACCATCTTGCCAGTGAGAACCATATAATACATAACTTCCATAAAGTATTAATGTTACAGCTGTATTATAGATGCTATAAGAATCAGCTAAAACTTACAGGCTTGTTTTATTGTCTCTTGGGGTTCTTGTATGCTTTATATCAATTCTCTATTCAGTTAATAAGAATTAAGTGCTTGTTATGAGTACGACATTATACTGTGAGCAGAATGCAAAAGAAGATTCTAGTCTATCCTTATGAAATTTAAGGCCTATGGCAGAAAAACAAAAACACTCAAGATTGCATTTGTATTTAAGCTTCCTTCATATGGAATAGAAATTTGTAATTTTGAAACTGAAAAGGCCCCTAGAGATGATCTGGTCCAATTCCGTCATTTTACATGTAAAAGAAACTGAGGTTAACAGAGATTAAATTACTTGTTAAAGGGCAAAGTGTTAGTTACTGGCCTAGCAGGCACAAGAACTTAAATCTTTGTGCCCAGATGGGTCTTCCTCCCAATGTAATAGAATGTTTCACACCTAAGATTGTACCAATTACGGGGATCTAGAATAAAGGCTTCTTAGATTAGGTCAATAAGAAAAGCTACCAACCGTTATTGGTTCTTTAATATATGACAGGCATTCTGCTAAGCACTATACATACTTTATTCTTTTTATTTATTGTTTTAAGAAACAGGATCTCACCTAGGCTGGAGTGCAGTGGCACAATAATAGCTCACTGCAGCCTCAAACTTCTGGCCTCAAGCAATCCTCGTTCCTTGGCCTCCCACAGTGCTGGGATTACAGGCATGGGCCACTGTGCCAGACCACATTAATTCTTAAAACAATCTTGGGTAGGTACTGTTAACAGTTCTACATTAAGATGTGAAACTAAGTTAAGAGTGGTTGATCTTAATCTAGTTAATCTAGTTGGGGTTAATCTAGTTGCTCAACATTATACAACTAGAAAGTGGAAGACATGGAACTGAAACCAAGTATACCTGAGTTCTAAACTACCTGAGGTCACAGTTTACGTTGGTCAGGAGCTATACTTGTTATTACTTTTCCATCTCTCTAGCCTATGCCAATAAAATGTGATTGTTCACATCTTGAACTAACAATAGATTTTACTTTTTTGTTGGTTAGTAGCCACTGAACTGTGTGACCTTTAACACATACATCCTTCTAATTCACAGAAAATTTAGAAATTGGGTAAAAGGCAAGCTACACTAGACTTTTCACTCTATAGTGGAACTCTCCCTCTAGAGTAGATTTTAGGGACATTAATTTTTAATAATTTTCACATTTGGCTAAAGAAGAGGCAGACTCTGAAAATTAAGTATTCCCTTTCTTGGCTCCTTCACTTTAACATGTTCTTTCACTTTCTATCCTGAGATAACTGCTGTCAGCCTTTAATTTCTGCTTTACAGAATTAGCAAAGAGTGGTTCTAATTTCATGATTGTTCTTCATCTAATTCCTATATGTTCTCCTGCATTTCTTCTGGATGTAAACAAAAGCAATGTAATTCAATTCTTAAAATCCTAAGGGCCTATTCTTGGTCTGGCATTCTCATAGTGCTAGAGACAAAAAATAAATATTCCTGCCCCTGAGGAGTTCGGTCTTCCATCACTCAATAACCTCTTCTACCCAGTACTTATCTCAACCCCCTTAACACACTGACTGACACACTAGAAAAACAAAAAATTCCTCCAGGCGATGGTGTTTTATTATGAAAATACAATACAGAATTGGAAACAAAATGATCCTTTCTAATTTAATGAAAAATTTATTATTTTTTATTGTTTTCTGTGTGTCAGTTATGTGCAACTTGAAAAACAGTTCACACATCTCCCAAGATGAAGACACGTGAGTTACATATGCTTCACAAGGCCCCAGGCTCAAAACTAGCATGAGTTAAATATAACTCACAGGGCAGTTGTTGTGTTAAAAACCAAAAGAGGGGAGATATGCCCATATTTCATCACCTTTCCAAAAAGTGCTAGTGTGACATTTGTCTTTCTGTGAGAGCTCTCTAGTCTTTTTTTTTTAAAAAATAGATTTCGGGTATACAAGTTGAATTCTATTACACGTATATATTGTACAGTGGTAAAGTCTGGGGTTTTAGTTTACTATAATCCTTTTAATATCATTAAAACAGAAACACATGAAGTATACCTTTTCTTTCTTTAAAAACCAGTTTACTGATAGTGGTAATCATTTCATAGTGTATCCATATATCAAAACGCCACATCATACACCTTAAATATATAATATTAATATTTTTATTTGTCAATTACACTACAATAAAGCTGGAAAATAAAAACAACCCAGTTTATTCTAAATAGTAACAAATTATTTCTTAAGTTTTTATAAAACTCTAATAAAATGCATAAGTGACTGAACGAATGCTTTATTTTTTGTACAAATACCATACCTGATGCTTCAACTGAGTTATTTCTTTTTGACACAAAGTTATTTCATTTTCTGCAAGTTTTCTTAAATCTTCATTCTTATCTAAGAAAAAAGGCAACAGTTAAGTTGTTCTTAATTAGTATTAAATTGCCAAAAGACTTACAGTTAATAGTTTTATTGTTATTATAGCTGAAGGGAAAAAAAAAGTTTTATCTTGTCCTTTTAATAAATGCCATTAATTAAAAGTAGTATTTTATGCATTCATTTTCATAAGCATGTGGGTATAAAAAAAACAAACTTTTTTTCTGATGATCAAAGGATAAGGAAAATAAAAATATAGTCTAAAAATAAAGTCTATAAAAAATATAAAGAAGCTAAACCTTTCTATAATTTCACCTCTGTAGTTACATTAATAGATATGCTTTTCATTTTTCAATTTAGACTATACAATAAAAAATGAATACATTAGCTAGTTAGACAGCAGTGGAACAAAAGTTCCTACCAGTTAAACCAAAATTGAATTAAAAATTTGAAAGTTATTTATGGTCTTATTAGTAAATGTTTCATTAATATAAAATAAGTATCCACCCAAAAAACATTTATTAGACTATGCCTAATGTTTACAGAATGTTTACATGAAGTGTTCCCCTCTGGCTTTACCCCTATTTTTTCATCTTTGAATTCTCATTTTTTCCTTACAAAATTTACTTTTTCATTCCTCTACCCTATGGACAATATGCAGCCTATAGAAAGGAGGAAGGAATAGGGAAATTTTTAGCTATTACAAATCGTTCTCTATGGTGAAACTCTTTGTAACAAAGTATCAGTTTGTATGCTTATCTATTAAAAACCAACCATGCTGGGAACTGGGGATAATACAGATATAAGACCTGCCCTCAAGGCAGGATTATAGATAATTTTAGTTTCTTCATATTTTTCTAGAGGGAAAAAACTCACAAAGAATAGCAACCTAAAACACTCTGTGACCAAATATGAAAATAGTAGCATCTTGAAGGAATTTAATTTGTTTGTTTTGGGGATGGACAGAAAAAGGAAAGAAAGATTAACTCAAGGAAAATGACAATAGCAGAAACTTGAGACAAGTAATCACAGGAAGCATTGGTGGAAATTATTTTGGCAAGCGTGTGGTATAGCAGAAATTTGAATTAGGAAAAATGAATTCCAGCCCTAGCTCAACTGCTAAGTGTGCTCTCTTTTTTTTTTTTTTTTTTGAGACAGAGTCTCGCTTTGTTGCCCAGGCTAGATAGAGTGAGTGCCATGGCGTCAGCCTAGCTCACAGCAACCTCAAACTCCTGGGCTCAAGGGATTCTCCTGCCTCAGCCTCCCAAGTAGCTGGGACTACAGGCATTCGCCACCATGCCCGGCTAATTTTTTGTATATATTAGTTGGCCAATTAATTTCTTTCTATTTATATAGAGACGGGTCTCGCTCTTGCTCAGGCTGGTTTCGAACTCCTGACCTCAAGCAATCCGCCCGCCTCAGCCTCCCAGAGAGCTAGGATTATAGGCGTGAGCCACCTCGCCCGGCCCTAAGGTGCTCTCTTATAGCAACAAACTCAACTTCTCTGAGTCTCAGTTATGTCAAGAGCATAATGGAAGTTCTAAGGTGTCTTTCAGTTCTGAAATACGTTCTACAAGGCTAAGAACATTGGAACTAGAGTCTAGAAGTAATTTAATTTTAATACTATCTATTATTTAACCCATTATTCCCAAAATATTGTCATTTCAACATATAAAATTAATTTTTTAATACTAAGTCTGAAATCTCTGTGTATTTTACACTTACAGCACATCTCAATTCAGACTAGCCACATACAGATAGATCCTCAACAGCCATGTGTGGCTACTAACTACCCTACTGGACCACACAGCTCTAGAGGGTTTACACTGAGGAGTAATTCATAGTAACACGTGAGTTCTTTAATTTCTCTTTCACTATCATAAATCAGCATATGTTTAGTGGGCACTTACTGCATTGCCTGCCTTCTCTTTCCCCTCTGCCTACAAAGATACAAAGATGTTTAGTTTCCCCATTCTGAAAGGGTCTTTTTCTTTTTAATCTCTGAAGTAACTGAATGTTGCCATCCCCTCTTTTCTTACCAAAATTTCTGGAGATAAAATGCAATATTATTATTTTTCTGCTAACTCTAATTTAATTCTTAAGTTGTTAACAATGGATTCAATAATCATATAGACAGTGGTGATCACTTCGTAATATATGCATACATCAAAACAATGCATCATCACCTTAAATATATACCATTTTTACTTGTCAATTATACTCCAATGGAACTGGAAAATAAAAATAACCCAGTTTATTCTAAATAGTAACAAATGAAAATTATTAAAATCATCAGTAACAAAACTACCAAATCTAATGACTTATTTCAGTGTGAGCTGAAAAGGCAAGCTTTACCTTTCTAAGTCAGATAGTGACAATCTTACTTCTTGAAATTTTCTTTAATTGGTTTTTACAGCTTGATTTATTTATCTGGTTCAAGGTCCTAAAGCTTTGCTTGTTCTTTCTTGATCTTTTATAGCTCTCCTCTGCCTGCTCCTCAAATACTATGTATTTTTGGCACTATTAGGCTTGTTTCTATCTTCACAAATTTTCCCTGAGTATTCTCATCTACTTCTAAGGTTTTAATTTAACATGTACTGTATATCCTGAGAGCTCTCATAGAATTATTCAGGCTCAATTTTCCTCCTAGGCCAGTAGTTTTTTTCTCCTAGACTAGTATGTATATCTTTGTCTGAACGTCCTTCTTGTAGGTATTTTGAACTTAATATAGCCATTCAATGCAAAACTCATCTTTTTCCTAAATTTGAGCCAGTGTTTATATTTTCATTTTAATTAACAGTGCCACTCATGTTTTGAAGCCAGAAGCCTAAGACTTCGTCTTTCCTTTATCCTTTTCAGGACTTAAGACACCAAATCCTGTCATTCCCCAGAATATCTTGGGAGTCAGACCTGTGCCTGTTACCACCTCTCCCTTAGACTGTTTCAACAGCCTCCTCAGTGGCCTTTCAGCCACCAGGGTTTCTGGAGAATACTCCAACTCATCCTCAATACTGATGCCAACATTAACTTTCCTTTTAAAAAAAAAAAATCCTACTTCTCTGCATAAAAACATATGTTAACTTCCCATGGTCTATAAAAACAAATACAAATTCTTTGTCATGTAAGGTTCTTAATAGCCTTTCTAGCTTAAAGTTTCTATTACATTATCATCTCCCACACCTATTCTATGGTCCTGCCATATCGTATTTCCCATTTTGGTACCTTTACCTGTCTGTGCTGGTCACCTCTGCCTTCAATTCCCTTCTCCTGCACAACCTGACAAACTCTTGCTTACCCTTTCAGTTCCATTTAAACGCAGCATTTGCTCTTTTTTTTTTTTTTTTTTTTTTCAGAGTCTCGCTTTGTTGCCCAGGCTAGATAGAGTGAGTGCCATGGCGTCAGCCTAGCTCACAGCAACCTCAAACTCCTGGGCTCAAGGGATTCTCCTGCCTCAGCCTCCCAAGTAGCTGGGACTACAGGCATTCGCCACCATGCCCGGCTAATTTTTTGTATATATTAGTTGGCCAATTAATTTCTTTCTATTTATAGTAGAGATGGGGTCTCGCTCTTGCTCAGGCTGGTTTCGAACTCCTGACCTCAAGCAATCCGCCCGCCTCGGCCTCCCAAGAGCTAGGATTACAGGCGTGAGCCACAGCGCCCGGCCTAGCATTTGCTCTTATAACACTCTGCTCTTCACCGCAAAAGTTAAACACTAATACACTTATATTTTTACTTCTTATGCATCTCTCTCCCTTACTAGGTGTTGTAAGCTCCTAAAAGTACTTCCTTAATTTTTTGTTAATTAGTCGTAAGAACTGAAGATTTGATGAATGACATTTTTCTATTGTTTAAGCTGAGTTGCATTCTGTCAGCAACAACTTTCTAATATTCTGTTAACTTCCCTATAGTTTGATTTTTAAAATAGCTAACCCTTAAATCCACTTGGATTTTAAGTCTGGCTTAAGCTATAGAAACCAATTTAATGATTCCCCAAGAGATATTTTTCCCAATACCATTTACTAATCTTTTGTTTTTTAAAAACTCTAGGAATGCTCCTTTTCTCTTAAATCACTTTAGACTATTCTTATATCTCACTTACACTACTGTGTTAGCTGCCTGTTTTTCCTTGCATCTTCAATCCCATTTCCAAGTTGGCTTCTAAAGTGCGACAAATCGAGCTTCCTAAGTGACCAAATGAATTCTGTTACTCACTCCCCAATCCAAAAGCTTCTGCTGGCTTCTTTCTGCCAACAGGATAAAAACCAACCTCTTAGACTAGTATTTGATTCCCCATACAAAATGGTTCCAACCTGCCACCCCCCATAACCTCACCTCTCTTCTTCCAAGGATGAGATCTGCAGCCCAATCCCAACTCCATTTCTTATAAACTGTGTAACCCTGAACAGAGTTATTTTACCTCTTTATGCCTCAGGTTCATCTTTTGTTGCATGGGGCTAATAGTCCCTACCTCATAGTTTGCTAAGTGAACTGGAGGTGTTGATGCATAAAGAAAACTAAGCAAAGCCCACAGTAAGGGGTCAATAAAGGTTAAAACTATTATTATATCCTCTAAGGGTGGGCCTTTACATCTCTGTAATGCCTTCCCAACACTTTTTTGCTTTCCTAGTTATTTATTCATACATTTATGTCTGCTCTCACTTATCAGCTGTATTATATGTACTTAATTCTGTCTCTCCCAATAGACTGCGACCCTCTCTAAAGCCTTGCTACCCAAAGTGTGGTACACCGACCAGCAGCTCGGAATCCCTAGGAGCTTGTAGTAATGCAGAAACCTAAGCACCAATTCTCAGATTCAGATGCGCGCCAAACACATGGGGAAACTTGCTAAAAATACATATGCCTACGTCTCAGAATCTGAGTCCCAAGTTTGGTTTTAACAAATACTGCTCCTGATACTATTTTAGATAGTCTCCATACCACTTTGAGAAACACTGCTCTCAAGCCCCAAAACGACAGTGTATCATTTGTCCTTAGTGAGCTAAAGAGCTTCCGCCAAAGAGTATGCAAGAAATAAGCGCCAATTGAAATTCTGTGAAAGGGAGTGAAGCAGGAGAGCCAACAGGAGAGGCTGGGATCAAAACGCACATAATAATGTGTTGACTTCTGATCCAAAACAAAACCAGCTGAAGTGAGTCATTTCAAACTCGGGTAGAGTGTGGGTATCGCCAATGGCTTAGTGGAAAAAGCAAACGAAGAGTCAAGAATCTGCTCTGACACCGCTCTCCTGGGCCCGGCCCTTACCGTGCAGCAGGTGCTCGGTCTCCCGCAGCTCCTGCTCCTTCTCGCTCAGCCGTTTGGCCACTGTCACCAACTCCGGCCTCCTGACCTGCAACTGGGCTTCAGACCCTGCCTGGCGCTCCAGGAAGGTCCGCAAAGGCCCTCCGCTCGAGAACAGTTCTTCCAGCTGCGGACTACCGCAGCTTAGAGGCCGGCGGGCCGGACCCACAGCCGGGCGGGCCCACAGGCACCTGGCAGCAGCCCACAAGCGCCACGGCCTCATCACTATTCTGAGATTGCGGGGTGCGACCAGGACAGGAAGTTCCGGACAGCAAGTCTCGCGACGCCACACGGGAATCGGAAATAGGGACGAGGGAGACCAAGCCCTCTCTTGCGCACGCGCTGTGTTATGACCCGGAAGCTTTGGAGGGAACTTCCGGCTGAGGCTGAAGATGTTGCAGAAGTCCCAGAGGCCAATAGTTGAAGTGGCCAAGCAGAGAACTCTAGGGGCTGGGCTGTTAACCCGCAACTGCGGGAGACCTCGGGCCTCATCACACTTGCCCCGGCGGCATGTTGGGCTGGAAGGGGAAAGCAGCAAGTTGTCGCTCTGCTGGCGGCGAGGATTTGTTTCCCAAGCATTGAATGGGAGGGTTCAAGACCCTCTGCAGGGGCAGGGGTCACAGCCACCGAAGTCTGTCCCTAGTGCCAGCCTGGCCATTAGTCTTCAGGAGCGAACTTTCGGATGGTTGTGTGTGTGTGTTTTCATTTATTTTCCTTCTTTCCTGCTCATGTTTCTCTTTACCACGGTGGGTCAGATTCGTGTTAATGAGGACGTGGCAAGTGTATCTAAGACAACCGAATAAATTTACAAAATCTACGTTCCTGCCTGCATCTGCCACGAAATTAACTTGCTTTCAAAAGACTTTCTTCCTCGCCTGCACGTTCCTTTTCCCAGTTTTCGCCAGCTACTTTTTTAAGAGGTTGGGTGAATCCGTGTTAGAACAAGCTACAGCACAACAAAACCTTCAGAAACCCGTGTCTGGTGGCCCACACCCCATTCCTTAGCAAAACACTGCACATAGCAGATAAGTGTCAGGAATAGTAAAGTTTAAGTTTATTGGTATAATGTTTTGCAGTTTTCAAAAGATCTAGTCACAGTCTAGCACAGAAACGGAGATGATGGATTTGATACAAGCAAGACTTCCCTGGGAATGTAAGGGCTGAGCGCTCAATATGGAAAATACTTATTGCCTGTTTTGGTTAGGGTCTATTAAATGCTGTTTCACTGTTGAGAGAAAGGACATATTTAAAGAGCTTCTAAATTAGTTTTCAAAAAATTGAATAATAAAAAATGAGAGCTCTTAACAATGTTAAAATAGCCTTGCATTATTTAATCAAAACTATTGAGGTTAAGTACAAAATTCTTAGAAAATGAGTTTGCATTGCTTCTCTATTCTTCCCTTACCATTACGTACAAAGCAGAGTGATGTGGAAGAATGAAATGACTCTCCAAATAACAGAAAGCAAAAATAATTTTTCTACTTTAAACCTCTAATTACCTCAGTTCTTCATTTTACTGTGTTTATTCAAGTTACACTACTTTATAAAATGGTTTTGCTGTAAGATAGTGTTTGAATTTCATTTTATTTTAATTCTGATCTGATATAAAAAAGGACTGGTGAGGTTGTTTACATCTCTATTCGGAATAGTTATTTCCCAACTCTAAACTCAACTTTGAAGTTTTTTAAACCATAGAAATGGTGGGATTCATTTGAACTCAACATGATAAATCTTTCAGCTGAATTTTCAAAACATAACTTATTTCAAGAATATATTTTATTATTTATAAAAGGTGCAAAATTATAATAAGCAATAGCCTTATAGAACAATGAAGAATCTAACCAGAATTTATTATTTTCTCTCAGGTGTCTAAGCATTTTGAGTAACACATATAAGTGAACCTTTTATTCCTATAGTGTTATACTAATGAAGAAACGGTAACATGTCTAAGGATACATTGGTGATTTCTTTATTAATTCAAAGCACTTTAAGAAAGTCAAGTGTATGCATATGCATTTTTACAATAATATCCATAAGTTTCCACAATATTGTCAAATGAAAACAACTGTCGTTTGATTTACTTTGAAAATTCAAAAGAAATATACCAGTTTGAGACATCTGAATTTTCTTACATTGTTGACATGCTCAAATTTTATTACATGGTGAAAATTCTAGCATTTTCAGGAAGTATATTATGGTACATAGGTAAAATGATAAAATATATCCAAGGAAAGAGGAATTAAAAACCCAGAACAACTTAAATTGGAGGAACCATAATCTACACTATCTATTCAATTTAGGAGTACCTGCATTATTCTGGCATTGCAAAATAACCAAGCATAGTGCCTCTTAAGTTGTATTCATGCATTCAAAACTTCTTTATAGTCCACTAATAAATATTGGTGGAGTCCAATATATAGATAAAGATTGTTATGTATAATGAACATGGTAGTAAAAAATTATACACCTTCAATATGATAAATTTTACAGACCCAAGCACATTGAAATGCTTTTTTAATATTTAGCAAACATTTAAAAATCATAAACAATAAACATTGTACTTATGACAAATAGGTTAAAACCAGGAGAGAAAAATATCAAGTATTTTACCTTGTTTTAATAATCGATATTCATTGTTGAATGAAAGGCATTATAGAGGAGCACTAAGCAAAATAGTTATCAATTTAAATTACTTCTTATGACAATGAGTAAGACTAAGATTTTTAATATGCAAAATGTGAAGAGGATTAAGGTAATTAATTATACAGGTAATTCAAGGGAAAAATTTACTTTCACCTCTATTAAGTGAGTATTCAAGCTAAGACTTTTGGAGTTTTATTTTTCCATTTCACTATTCAGTTCATTGTATTTTCTTAATAGTATTTGTTAGCAATCATTTAATGGAATCTAATATTAGTGTTAAGGAATCTGCCCTGATTTTTTCAGCTCAGTGTAAACATCCAGAAAATTTACCTTCAATATAATCTCTTAAAAAATGTATTTCTTTACAGTGGAGAAACCTACTAGATGCTAACTCAGTTAGGTGATCAAGGTTAACATTAACAGTTAAGGGGAGCCTAAATTTTATGAAACTGTCACAGCTAAGAGGAGTCATGATGATGGCATGTACCTATGATATCTTGTGATGAGAATGGCACTTTATCTCTGTGGTCTTCCTTCCAAAAACCAAAACCCTTATCGAATCATGAGAAAAACATCAGTCAAATCCCAATAGAAGGACATTCTACAAAATACCAGACAAATGCTCCTCACTACTGTCAAAGCCATAAAAAACAAGGTAAGTTTGAGAAACTGTTACAGTTAAGAGGAACCTAAGAACATGTGACAACTAAATGTAATGTGGTATATGAATGGGATCTTGGGATAGAAAAAGCATATTAGGTAAAAACTAAGTGTAGGCTTAATGAATTAATATTGGTTCAATAATTTGACATATATATGAGATATGTGGAACTTCTCTGTACTATCTTTGCAGTTTTTCCATAAATCTTAAACTATTCCAAAATAAAAGGTTTAATGAAAAACTTTATTAACACATTACCACCTTTTATCAATTTTTTATTTTCATGGTAAAATTGTTAAAGAAAATGATATGACCTTAACATTAAAAAGAATGTTTTCTGATGATCAATCTCCTATACTTTAGTTTTAGCTCTATCACCGATTTATATATTTGGCAAATGACTTGATATTTATATTATTCCTATTCTTGGGAATGTTGTTTTATTTCCTTTGGAAATACAAAATTTAGATGATTTGTCTTATTTAAATTTAAATTTTAACCTACAACACATACTCTCTGTCTCTTTCTCATGTGTGTGATTGAAAGAAACATTTCTAGACTGTAGATTTGATGTGATGTTGACGACTGGAAAATATTAACTTGGAATCACATTACTGAACAAAGCAATAACATTGATACAGCTCACATCTTAAAATAAGATTAATTGTATAATATTTTAATGAATGATCAAATCAGATTTTAAAGTATGTTTTGAAAATAGTAGGACAAAAGTGCAATAAAATGACATTTAACACAGACATTCCTGAAAAATAGTAACTATTGAGCTGAAGAACTTTGATATTACATGTCACACTTTATTCTTTCCATGTTTATTTTATTAAATGCTCATGGCCATCCTATAAATGGTTATATTCATCATTTGCAGAATAGGAAACATTTATCTCAGAGGAGATAAATGATTTGCTCAAAGTCACATGAGACACAGTGTCACTTGAAATCAAATTTGTAATTCAAAGTTTCTGATGTTCTTACACTATGCTCCATATGTGAATCTGTGGACATACATTTCCATTAGTAAGAATTGTATGAAGCATGCTTTTAATACAGTAATGAGAGCTAGACTTTTTATTATTTATTTATTTATTTATTTTGAGACAGAGTCTCACTTTTGTTGCCCAGGCTAGAGTGCCGTGGCATCAGGCTAGCTCACAGCAACCTCAAACTCCTGGACTCAAGAGATCCTCCTGCCTCAGCCTCCCGAGTAGCTGGGACTATAGGCATGCACCACCATGTCTGGCATATATATATATTTAGTTTGCCAATTAATTTATTTCTATTTATAGTATAGATGGGTTCTCGCTTTTGCTTAGGCTGGTTTTGAACTCCTGCCCTTGAGCAATCCACCTGCCTCGGCCTCCAAGAGTGCTAAGATTACAGGCGTGAGCCACCCTGCCCGGCCCAAGCTAGATTTTTAAAGGAAATGTATCCAAGCATAGGACAGAAAAACAATCTGTTTAACTATTATTCTAAAATATTTATTTCTAACTATTTAAAAGCCATAATGCTGTGATGGCAGTTAGGTATGAGTCATCAGTTTTAAAATTCTGAAATTTATGAACTGGTAAAGAGACTTAATATGAGAAATAATGAGGGAAGAATAAATTTCAGGTTGAACATATGATGTATTAAAAATATTACATTTGATTGTCATCATCAGTGCTTAATAGCATTCCTTTTCTCTGCTCATTTTAGAGCTTTTGTCATAGGAATAAAATTAATTCTCAAACTGGGAGCTATTATCAGAGCAGCACTTTGCTTTCCATATTCTTTTAATTAGAGACAATGTCTTGAATATCACCTTGAATTTATGTGAAAAGATGTCACTTGGGCTGGAGAGGATTATACTTATCAGAGTAATAATTTTTAAAATACTTATAAAGAAATCAAAGTCTGGCATTGATCATTCTATGTACTGTTGTGTATTGCAAGGATATTGTAAGTGT